TTATATCCGGAAATTCATTTCCTACCAGAGAAAAAGCTTATCGTTTTTTTTCATCTATTATTAGTTATCAAATTCTTTAGTAGTTTATATTAAGCCATTTTAAATAATTCTACTTGTTTAATTTATTATTAATTTGACCGCACCCCCCGATCAACTCCTTCTCATATTATGTCAACGTTCTACCATCTCTACATCATTGAGCCATTTTTTATTATTACCAGTCATGAGAGACTGTTAATTATTTTATATAAACCATTTAAAAGTTAATTTAGATGAAGCCATTTTCCTCCTTTCGGGCTATTTAAACCAGGATAAATTTTAATTAACATTAAAAAAGAAACACTTGTAAAATGGTATAACGAGTTTAAACATAATTATTTGGATTTTTTTTCGGAAAAAAACAATTTATTTTTCTATCAGAGTAATCACCCTTATTGAGAAAAAAACAAATCGAACCCCCTCCCCAAATTAAATCTTGGATCCACCAATATAATTCGACTTAAGATGCACAAAACAACAAATCAATACAATGCAAGCCAAACAAAGTGATATCATAGGAAGTAACTCCAGGGCTGCCAACCTCACTGGAAATACCCAGAAGGCAGAGGAAGCGTTCAACAGCTGTCTCTTGTGTTAGCAAATATGGCCTAATTAAGAAGTGTATTCTTCATTATCTTTGGGGAAGGGCAGCCATGTTTGCCTTATTATTGTGTTTCATATCAGTAAACAAGTTCAAATGCCACATCTACCATGAAAAAAGACCTTCATCGTTCAGGTGTAAGGAGTTAAATTATGTTTAGGACTATGGTTCCGGGACGGATGTAGAGGGAGTTTTTTGCGTGAAGAACTATGGATATGGAACTGAGATGGACACAGAATTTGAGATATCGCCTTGTCTATGTAAGAAATTATCTGGGCCATCCAGTCAGAGAGGAAACACTAACAAAAATAAAAATATATATATTTTTTTAAACTATTTATTCAAGATATTTAAAACTGTATTACAATAAAGAATACATCAAGTAAATGTGTACAAAGGAATTTAATCACATTAAAACGCTTGTTGAGAAACTACCCACTAGTAGCACTCTAATAATATGTCTATATAAGGAGATCACGAGGCCATCTTCTTTTCAGATGCCTCGGAGGGTTATCAGGAATCTAAGAGAAAGCAAGGTTAGAAACGAGAGGATTCGAATGGTTTTGAAGTTTATTATGGAAGGATAGGTATCTGGATTGGGCCAAATCGGAAAGATATGAAACATTAATTCTTTATGGATTATTTTATTTGTGACAAAGTAGGGAACATTAAGGATTGGATACGAGAGGAATTTGATGGTTTACTAGAGTCCCTTAGCTCAAATCTTTAAGTCCAAATACATTTTATTATATTATAATTATAGCCACGTATTAATATATAGTCTTCTGTAATTAATTGGAAGTTTAGAGCGTTTGTCTAATAAGTGCTGAAGTAAGCGGAAACGTCAAAGCAGTTCCTTGTCGTTTTAGCCTTGTATGAGTATTCCAAGTAAGACGTTAGTCCAGGTGGTCTTAGGTATCGGATTTCTTCATCAAAAATAAGTGAGGTGTTATTAAAGGATACTGTAGGACAATAAGTCATGGGTTTACGAAGAAGGGTAAAGGTGATTTGTTGGGATTTATTGAAATTTATTTTAATCCTCCAGTTTTGACACCATTTTTCAAGGTTTGTGATGTGTTATAGAAGAGTTTGGGACGCAATTGATGGATCGTTATTAGCTGATAGGATATATGTGTCATCGGCATAGATGGTGATGACAGTGTTAGGATGGGTTGGGATATCAGGATAGGAGTAAGGATACTACCTTGAGGAACTACAGCAGATTGAGAAATGAGGAATGAATAAGTATTATTGTGATTTACTTTGAAGTGTCTATAAGTAAGGTAGGAACTGATGATGAGAAATTATGTAGGGGATGAAAATTACGGAGTTTATAACGCAATCCCTGGAACCAGACTCGATCAAACGCCTGTTTCTGGACAGTGAAATGGGATGTACGGAATCCAAATTGGTGATCACGGATTATGTGGTTAGAATAGGATGGGATACAAGCGTTTAGATGTGTTTTGTCATGATTTTAATTTTTCCCATGATGGGTATAAGAGAAATACGACGGTAAGATGGGTATTCTGGTGCCTTTTTGGATTTATGAATCATTTTGACAATAGATAGTTTCCAAGGGTCAGGAAAATATGTGGAACGGAGTACGGCTTTATATTAAAAAGATTTAAATTTTATTTTTGTCGAATTTTTGGCCTAATAGTCTGTGGTACAGGTCCCTTTTTATCAAATTAATAAAATCCGCCTAAAACTTCTTGAGTAACTTTATCTCGGCGTAACCTACAACTTTAATATTTATGAAAAATCTCGGAATTGCGGCGTTTCCAGAAGTAAGCAAAAAGAGTCCAAATTAAAGGAAATAAAAACCGACTGTTTGAACTGAGAAACTTCAAAACAATCCTTCTGGAAACAGAAACAGTCTTCTGTAGATTGAGGATTGTACACTGTAAGTTCTCAAATGCCTGCATATTAAGAGGACTGGACCCATCAACCTGCGAAAATTGTAAGATTCGAAGAACAGTGTAACAGATCACTCAAGACTGCCCTATACTTGAAACTGTAAGAAAACAATTAGGTAAGGCACAAAGCCAAAAATAAAACCTGAAAAACAGCGAAATAGCAGTGAAAAAAAATTTAATTTTTAAAAATAATATAACTCTATAACAGAGCGTAAATAAAAGGTTTGGACAATGTAGTCCGTGGAACAGACCCCTTTTATAAAATTATTAACATCCGGCTGGAACTTCGTAAATAGCTTCATCTCATTGTAACCTAGAAATATTTTATTCAATCTGGAGGGCGTTTGTTTTTCGCTTTAATCGTAAGATAACTTGGTAACAAAATCGAGAAAAATGGTGGCTTTCAAAAATATTGAGCCGTTTGGCGTGACCTACACCCCCAAATTGTCAAAATAACGAGGTTATATAGGCCAAAAGGCTCAATATTTTAGAAGGCCACCTTTTTTCTCGACTTTTTGCTCAAGTTATCTTACGATTTAAGTGGCAAGCAAATGGGTATTTACGAATTTTTAGTAGCTAATTAAATAGACAAAGTTGCCAACCTCCAGATTAAAAAAGCCCCAATTCCGAGAATTTTCGTAAATAAAATATTTGTAGGTTACGATGAGATGAAACTATTTTCGAAGTTTCAGCTGAATGTAAATAAATTAATAAAAAGGGGTCTGTACTACTGATTAATTACTCTGCATGGTACAGGCAAAAAATTAATAAAGATAAATAAATGTCATTAAAAAAAATTGCAAAAAATCATAAAGTTTTCCTATTAAGTTCAACACCATGTACATTTCTAAATTTCTCAATGTTAAGTTACACTCGCAATCATCAATTATATATTTAAAAGAGAGCTTAACTCCCCAAATAGAATTTTTCTAATTTGGGGATTTATGTTAATGTGGAATACGTAAATATGGTTTGATAAAAACTATTGTTCATTTTAAAACCCTTCAATTTATGATATCAAAAATTAAAAGAATCGTATGTTTTTTGTAATACATCTTTCGAAAGAGAGAGATTTATGATTTATTACCATATTTATTCAGTATGATGTCAATAAGAATGTATGCCTGGTTTTGACATATTTACCCTTCCTCAACTATTTGTAAAAGTGACGCAATGGGAAATGATAATGGAATTATGATTTTGTAAGAATTATATTTTACAGATTCGTAATTTATGTTATCAGATGGTCAACAGTAGGCGTGTAATCATAGTTTGAAAAATAAAGTAAAGAGAATAATAACGTAAATATTTGAATTGGCATAACTTCGTAATGATGAAATATCTTACATATTAACTTTAAGCTAATATTAAATATATTAATGTTTTGAAAATTCGTCTTCAGATAAAAAAAAAAAAAAAAATTGATTTTATCTATATTAATCAGTTCAAAAATGAAAACCCGAAGAAATAAAAAATGAAGTATACTAAAATTAGAATTAGCACTTACATTTCACTAAATGATTATTTTATAACGTTAAATATCTGTTATACACAGAAATTACTAAGTTAAAGACATGTAAAAATTATTTGTAGAATATTTGTTTTAAATAAATCAATATGAAAACAATACTGTTTTACACGTTTCAAAATAATACTAACATTTAAATAAAAATAATATTTTATATTTTATAATGTTTATATTTGATAATAAATATAAATCGATCTTGTCGGCTTAAATTCAAATTCAACATCATCAAAAATATAAACAGGCAAAATTTTAGCAGTCTACTGCATTTTCCGAGAAGTTGAAGCCGACGTCCGCTTGCTTCACTGTGCGTCGATTCTGAACCGAAGTTTCTAAAATGGCGCCTTAACACACACGGTCAACCAAAGCCCCAGGCTTAGTCCTAGTTTTAACAAGATTTTTACGCACTCACACTTTAATGACCTTGTTGACTTGTATGAATAGAAACTTTGAACAATGGATATCTTTTATTTAACGAAAGATCAGTTTTATTGAAAAGCTAATATTTTAATATTTAAACAGTAAACAACTCTGAAAATAAAAAAAATAATATTTCCACGTGTTCCTGGCTTCTTTTTGTTTTACAGATATTTTTAGTAAAAGTATAACGAATATAGAGATCTCTACACAAACCTATGGTTAATGAATTAACGTTCCGAAAACCGTTGAACTGGTTAGCGTTTCTAAGAACTTATGAATATATTTCAATTAAAATAGACATATGACTCTACTAGGCAGGTTTATTTGTTTGAAGAATATGAATAATAAGGTCTAGATAAACAAGCATGAGAGAAATATTCCTAGTCCATGTAATATTTGGACGGTACACAGAGCTGCTTATGCAATGCCTTATCAGTCAGCAATCGGCCAAGTGTTTAGAGATTGAATCCTATAAAGAAAGAATTCCGGTCCAGAAACTGTGTAGTGCCAATTGTTCTCAAGATGGAGTCTAAGGTGGAGATACCAGAGGAGAGCCCTCGTCCGCAACCGACTCCGTTGATCCATCCTCGAGTTGAACAGATCAGATCTGAAGAGCAGAGGTCAAGTAAGTTATTTACGTTTATAAATGTAAATTTAAGATAATTATTTATTGAACTATTAAATAACGCTCTTGAACGAAAAATAATAAATTATAGAGCACTGTCTCATAGAATCGAGATCGTGGTGTAAGGGAAAGACATAATACACGTCATACCTCAAGTTTTGAGACGCGGATGGTATCTAAGGCGTTAGAGAGAAAGTTATTGGTTTGGGAAGGGTAATCAGCGAGATCTGTGAACCAAAGTGCGAACGTAGTGTGCGTAAAACTCTAAAGGTTATCAACTCTTTTGTTTTATTTATTATTCCTCTCTGGAATTGAGGAACTCATTAAAAAATAGTTATTTCATGAATTTCTTTACATCATTAAATACTGTACTTATGATCTTTTCATATGTTTTTTTCTGTTGGCAGAGGTGTCCATCTCCTCCCTCCCCCTCAAGGTCGATGATGCATGAACCTCCCCTCCCTTCTCACAAGATATTTTATTGCTATCATCTTCTTGAAAAAGTGCAATTTTTTTCTTTTTTTTTTTTTATTATTTCTTCATGATATTTACAACTGTATTATATAAATACATTAAGTAAATTTGAACATATGGATATAATGACGTCAAAACACTTGCTGAGTAACTACCCAATGGTAGCACTCTAATGATATGTCTACATTAGGAGATCACGGGACCATCTTCTTTTCAGACGCCTCGGAGGGTAATCAGAAATTGAATAGGAAGCAAGGTTAGAAGAGGGAGAGGGTTGGGATGATTCTGAAGTTTATTATGGAAGGATAGATTTCTGGATTGGGCCAGATCTGAAACAAAAGAAACATTAAGGTCATTATGGATGGTTTTATTTGTAACAAAGTAGAGAGCATTGAGGATTTTACGAAGGATTTCGGATTGTAAGGATTGATTACGAGAGGAATTCCATGGTTTAGTAGAGCCCCATAGCTCAACTTCGTTAGACCAAATAGGCCTTATTATAGTCATGTATATGAGTCTTTTGAAATTAATTGGAAGTTTAGAGCGTTTGTCTAGTAAGTGCTGAATTAATCGGAAGTGTCGTGCGGTTTCTTGTCGTTTCAGTCTGGTATGCAGTGCAAGTTAAAGTAGAATTTCAAAAATAACACGTCATATGCAATGACACTTCCATCGGTCCGTTCTTTGCTTTCCTCTTGCTCCCTGGTTTGAAACTTTTCATATTGAAAATTCATAACCCCGTCGAGATGTGCCCCTTTAAAAATTTTGATGGCGCAACCCCCTTGTGGGCACTCCTCTCTGTTGGCATAACAAACAGCGTAGATCTTTTGCCGTCTTGACCAGCCTTCTCAATGGTCTGTCTGTTTATATCCAGTTATCTGCATGCAGTTTTATTACAACTTTGTTGATTCGATATAATCCATCAAGTTTATACTCATATTCTCAGCCAAGTTATGGCGATCTCTTTTTTGTCATTTAATGTGGTCTATGATTTTACTGATTTTTAGTAACTTTCAATTTGATCTTCGGAATTCTAAGTTCTAAATAGACTGCCAACTATTAGTTCCTTTTTGATAGGAAACCCCAAATCTGGTTAGAATGGCAAATGCTCGATATAGGAGGATGGGCACTTATTTGACTATCATATCTGCAAGCTCATCGCCAACTTTTCTTGACTGGGAATCTATATAAGCTATACAGACTTTCCCAAATTATCGAGCATGTTGAATACTTTTGAAAGTTTAGGATTATAAAATGTTTAGAGTAAATGTCAATTATACCCTCTCAATGAACTCAAAGAGTCGGTTATTAAGACAACTGTGTTTGACGTTATTGGTACAGGCAGATCTATGGGGAGGGGGAGGCTTTCGGGCTGAAGCTCCCCCAAATGGTAAAATATGTTTATAGAAAAAAAATATTAAAAACTATCTCTTAAACTATTATTATTCGTGTAATTATATGTAATAGGGCTTCAAGAATCACTAAAACACCATGTCATATGGGTAGCTAGTTTCTTTTTTCTTATTTTTCAAATTAATTATCGTCATATATATGAAAAAAAAAATCCTTCGGGCTGAAGCCCTCCCTCAAAATTAAATCCTGGACCCGCTAGTGGTCATTGGGAAAATGGCTTCTTTCCATCCGTACACAAAAATCTTGTAGTTACTGTAGTTCCAAAATAATTTTTGGACATCAGCTGAGGGAAATCGTACAAATTAAATTCATCAATAGATTAAATCCAGCATCGGTGGACACTGATGTATGCTGAGTTTAGGAACAATCTGTTGGATTCCAGCGCAAGATTAACGCTCCTGGAAGGATATAAAACACATGAAAAATAAAAAATGTATAAGAAAGTATCTACCTACCGAATTTTTGAATTCAAAAGAGAAATAATATTGATAGAAATAATCTGAATATAATTATGAAAAGTAAATTGAGAAATAACAATAATGAGGTCATAATGAAGTTAAATCCAGCGGAACCATCGAACTCAAAATCCAATGGTACCGCTAATCCATAGCTGATTCAATCTATGGATAAAGAAACGCATATAGGCATGTGCAGAAGGAATATAGGTTGCAGCTATATCTTATATGTCATTTATAATGTTTTTGTTAGTTTCACATAAAACAAATTAAATTAAATAGTATAAATTGTCCTTTTATTATTCGTACAATTTTTAAAGTTAATGTTTTTTTCAGAATCCAATAGTCTCACATCAGTGGATTTTGAAACGGCCATTTCGAAATCCGGTAAGTAACACTTTATTTTTTGTAATAATATTTATAAAAACTATTTAATTATAATTAATTTTAGATAATTAGACTCATTAGAATGAGCTTCAACAGAATTCAGAAGATAAAGAACAGATAAAATGAAATTCCAGTTGTAAATAATAAAAAGGGTTCATATTTGGCTAAATTCTTGGGGAAAAAAAACTGTGCATCTCAGAGGTTTGATGGAGACTGCAGGTGGGCTCTTTGTGAGGTATAAGTCTGCTAAAGAGGTGATGTTGAAGTGTCTCAGCTCTAAGTTGAAACATGGATTTATAAAAAGTACATAGAATACATTTCAAACTAAATGTTTTTATTCAGAGAGGGTAAGAGAAAAAGAGGAAACATATTTCTTGGTGGAAATTTTGAAGCTTGAAACACTAATATTACTTAATAAGTATAAGATATCCTACTGTATTAGATAGGCACTGGTATGTCATGATGTAATACTGTTCCTACCACTTTTCTTAAAAGATAATTTTCTATATATTACTATAACCTAGTCTTCTATGAGGAGTAAAATTTTAAAATTGGTGCAAGTACCCACTTTTTAGAATGTTCATTCACCAAATACTGAAATTAAAAATATTGCTGCTTCCCCTTGCATCCAGTTTGAGAATTTCTGATTTCAATAGAACAACTTCACTTACAGCACCACTAGATATTTTCCTTCTCCAGCTTTAAGAACAAATTAAAAAATAAAATTTTCAGCAGTATACAAATGCTGTTTATAATATACTGTTTTACTTATAGCAGTATGTTGTAAAGCATTCATGTTGGTATAGGATAATGAAAAATAAATAAATACCTGTAAATAATACTTAGATATATTTAATTAGATATAAATTATTTTTTAGGTTGTGGCAAGTTCAATTTCGCCATGATGATACTATCGATTCCAGCATCATGGACTAGTGGGTTCGTCTCAGGCTCCATGTCTTATGTTGTTCCCGCAGCAACAGCTGATCTGGAGCTAACACCCACTGCGAAGGCAGCTCTGCAATCTGCCTGCTATGCTGGTGAGTACAGAGTTCAATCCTATTCCTTACAGGAGTGCCCAGAAGAGGGTTTCAAGCCATAAATTGCGCCATCAATAGTTTTGAGGGAGCTCATTTTTACAGGCTTTTAAATTTTGGAAGAGGGTACACCCAGAAATCTTTTTAAGGGAACCACATATTTATGTAGTTTCAATTCTAAAGCAGGAAACAACCGAAAAACATGGAACAGAAAGTGTAATTTATATTCTCTACAATTTTCTACATCTACTTTCACTCACACTCACCTTTTTTTGAGAAGAGGAGAGCAATAAAATTTCTTGAGAGGGGGGAAAATAGTGCCATCAGCCTTGTGGAATCCTGACCTTTGTAATTTCTGCTATTATCCCACCTATGAACTTTATGAAGCATGTAATTTGGCAGGTAGAGTAGATTTTTGTGGCATCACCTGATAACTTAAATATGATCAAAATAAAAGAGGTTCATTACCTCAGAACACAGGTGTACTCACATAGAAACGTTTGATTAAGCTACCGCTTCTTATTGCAGTTATTTCCTTATTACAATCATAACATTAGTGATGGAGTATTATTTATTTGTTGCCTGTTTACATTTTCAAGTAATTGATTTTCTTGCATCAAAATTCTTGTTTGAAAATTTTTCTGATTGTCCACTTCCTACTAGTAGGAACGAGTTCAGGTATATATTTACAAATCTTTTGATAATCCTGTTATACATTTGTAATATGATTAGTAACTAAAATCTGTAATTCATATTATGTGAATATTATTAAAATCATTGTTCTCCAACAAGAATGGTCATGGTCAAACGGCTTCGATTAGAAACCGTTAATTAATTTTTTTTTTGTTTCTTTGGAATAGATCAATTTATCAAAATTTAGATAGTTATTTTAATTTGAAAAACATTTAATTTCATTTAGGAATTTTTCTTTTGAGCAAAACATTAATTAGTTTTGTAAACATAAGTTTCATTTATTAACAGGAAATCATAAGAGAAACAAAATTATTATCATGAAACATGAATATGTAATGATTTAATTGTTTTAAATAAGCTTGATAGAGTAGTCTAAGTGATGATACGTTTTAATTAACTTTCTTGTAATTATAGTTCCGTTGAAAAAGCAATCAGTTAACCTTTATATATTTAAGTAAGAAGAAAATTCAATGATGCCTATAATGGCCTTAGAAATTCTTGTCGTATGATAATGTATTATAAATTACAAATCATTACATCACATTTTTTAAGATCAGATAAGAAACAAATTCTCGTGTTAGTTTAAAATATCTTAAAGTAAATGACATAGACAAAATATTTGAACTATGACAAAACACAATTGTCTCTCAGTTTAGATAACCCCTTCTGAAAAATATAAAATTATTTTTGAACTACATATTCATGAGAAACTTTATGAAGTTCTAAGGTACTATTAGGGTAAAAGCACCAATAGCTGATGGCGTACCAGTACCTGACATCCTCCTCGAAAAATGGGAATAATAAAATTTCAGGACCTCCTAGATTTCCATTTCATATATTTTTAGTTTCTACAGTTTGCCTTTTTCTCTTCAACTACTCTGATTTATTCCGAAATTTTTGTTTTTTTAGAGTGTTTTTAAATTATGTTTTATCTGATTCTAACTTATGTTGATGAAGGCATTGTATATTTAATGGATGTGAGCTACTGGAGCATTATAATGGGGAATTTTGCCAGTAGTTGACAGGCCTGTACACTCATAAATTCAAATAGTTTTACATAATATAACAGGTCTTAAGAATGGGAGCATTCACTACTGTCTCGTTAAAAAAAAATTATAATGATTTGGATTAAATATAAAAAGAAACTATAATGATTGCATTAAATTTAAATGGATTAAATATAATGATTTGGATTAAAATTATAATGATTTGGATTAAATATATAGGATTAAATATATATATTGGATTATTTTCCTATTGCCAAAAACAGGTTCTTGACAATGGTCATCATTGATTGATAAATTTAAGTCGGGAAATGTAAGAAGGTAGTTTTAATAACTAATTGTTATTACTTAAAGGTAAGTTTTGTTAATCTTAAAATGAAGAATATGAAATTTTCCTTTATTACATCCTTGTTTTCATCAATGTCAGCTATAGGAACATTCCAAATCAAACAGTGTCAACTACTGGTACAACAATACTATTCTCTTAATTTCCATTTATTTTTTAAGATGTAGATAAATGTTTCATAGATTTGAAATATGGTGTGGTAAGGTAAGAAATAGTTCTATAAGATGAATCCATGAACAATATAATAACATTAATATTTAAGTTTTTACACAAGAAACTTCAAAGAAATTTTCTTAAGCATATCAGCTACTGGTGCATTTATCCTAAATGAAACTTTTTTCTTATCTGTTATATTTTTTTAAATTTTACTGTTTACCCAAAAAAATCTTATCGAGTTAACCATTTCATACTCCATGTTTCAAGATGTAAAGGCCATTTAAAAAAATTAAAAAATCAAAAATAGATGATATATAAGAAATTTTAATTAAATTGGTAAATGTTAGTAATGTAAATATATTTTGACAGGCATGATAAGTTCCGGTTTTGTTTGGGGTTTCCTGTCTGACAAACTTGGTCGTAAGAAGCTCTTGGTCATTGGATTTCTTCTCGACTTTCTGATGAACTTCCTCACAGGACTAGTACCATCATTACCATTTATGCTGGTCTTCAAATACCTCTCAGGCTTTATGTAAGTATAAAAATTCTTGAATATAAAAAACAGCTAGTTGACTTTCTAATGAGAGCAATAGGTAATTTTATTTTACACTAATTTGCACAATACTATGAATTATTTTTATGTGTGTATTAGAAAAACTTGATATAATATAAAAACTATTATAATATTGTAACAGTGATCACTAGAGTAAGAATAGTTAGCTAAATTTACAAAGTAATGAGAAGAAGAAAAATATTTATAATGAAAATCAAGTAATACTCATATACGCATATTAGGGGAAAGAGCTGGGTAATGTTCGACAGGTATACAACCCGGATTACAGGTGTTGTGATAAAGTTTTTAAACAGATCAATGGAGAAACTAATTGAAGACAGTGTCAAGAACAACAGGATCACTGAGGGATTATAGGTGCCACCATTGAAGAAAATCATGAAAAGGATACAACTACAAATGGTTTGTCCATGTTTGACGAATGGATGAAATGTGGGATCTACAGGTAGAAGATCATGCTGCCAACTAAGAATCTTCTATCAGGTACGTATCCATAGAATTGTGGATAATGTAGGTCATACTCTCTCTGCAATGAAGTTACTACACCAATGATGGCTTGAAGATGAAGGGGAAGAAGAAGATTGGTCTACCCATAGTGGTATAATATGAAATTCACTAATAGTAAGAGAAATTATTATTATTTTTTATTTTTATTTTCATTTGATCATCTTAGCATTAAAATACTGTAAACAATTTTCTTTACTAGCTCAAGCAGCCCATACATCTGAAATAAGATTTTTCCGTGTCTAAACATTATTTCTCAATCTTTGGAATAATTTTTCTAAATCTCACTTGATTCAATAGATAATGTGCTAAATGTGCTAGTAAAAAAATGGTTTATCAAAAATTATAAACAAAAATAATTTAAATATACTTCGACTAATCAAAATTATTCTAAAATTGTATGTGATCATTAAGTGCCCAGGGTACATGCTTTTATTGTATATTATATTCTTAACATTAACAATTAAGTGAACAACTTATTATTATCTTATTATTCAAAATTTATGTTCTTAAAGACTTTTAAAATAGTGACACGTTACAACTAGAAGTAAGTTGTTTCAATGTTCCAACGTAAATAGAATACATATACATAATATGTGTTTGAACATATAATAACATAATAAAGTGTGTATATTTTTATTTTTTTTCAGTTTTCTAGGATACTATTTCATGATTTATTTATTTAAATGTGTATTTTTATTTAAAATCATTAGTATAAAAATGTACAGCCATTATTACTATTAAAATACATAAAGCATTATATATTCAATACATCGTACTGTAACATTGGTATAAGTTTTTAAAATAGAATAGCCATTATATAGCGAAAAGTGAGGAATTGTTACTTTATATTTCTCAGGTTTTATTTTATATTCAGTTCAAAACAAAAATAAAATGAAATATCTGTTTCTTTTTTGCTTTTATATTACAGTTTTAAAGGTTTATTTACAGATAACTTAGAAACAAATAACAGAAACATATAATTTTTTAGCAACATTCTTATGTGATGGAAGCAAAGTTTTTTCCATCTTATCAATGTAATACAATTTATTGCAGTTTAAACATTCACTTACTTTTATATTATTTTTATCTTATTTTTTTTATATTGCTTAACTGTCAATCAAACTTTATTAACTTTATTTCCATTGAATAATCTTATCCATTTTTGTTATGGATAGAACAAAGCAGGAAAAAAATTGACCATTTTTTATCTAACATGAATGATAAATTTAAATGATAATACATGAAAGTTTTAATTTATAAAATTGAATGTTTAATCTGAATACAAAATGTGTTGTTAAGACAAAGAGAATTAAAACAAAAATTTCTTATTTTGACCAGAATTAAAGGTTAATTTCCATCATTGAATAGTAACATTAAAAATTATAATTATGGCAACATGTATAAAAAATCACTAACAATTAGTTTAAAATTCTGATAAATTTGTTCTCATTTTCAGGGTTATTATCACAATCTTATAAAATATGGATATTCAATAAATATTTATTTTCATCTTCAGACATATTCCAACATAATGAAAAGGTAAAACATAGTTTTTGTAACATGAATGAATGACGATTATTTTTTATTATATGAGATTGTACATTTATATATAAAGTATCATGAAATAAATATAAGTTTATTTCATGATACTTACATTTATTCACAGTATACATATAATTTATAAGGTTTTATTAAATGTCATATATTGACATAAGGGTTTTTTTTAGTTTTATAAATAATAATGTGGTAAGTGCTTATTGTATCAACAATTGTGCAACATATACCAGACAAGTAAAACTCCTCTGAAAAAATTTATTGTAGCATAGATTCAATAAATAAAGGTAAATATTGGTATGTTAAAAATCATAGAAAACATGTTTCTTTACTAAATAAATTTATAAATAATAATGTGGTAAGTATTTATTTCACCAACGATTGTACAACATTTAACAGAAAGTAAAATGCATTTAAAAAATAACTAAGCAAGTAATGTTTTCAGGGTATCTGGACCATTTTCCATCTTCACTGCCTACATTTCTGAGGTGTTCCTCAGCAAGAGGAGGGACATAGCAGTATTGTCATCAGGAATATTCAGTGCCGTAGGAAACATTATACAAGCTGGTATGTCAATTATAGCTTTAGTAAAAGAGACATAAACAAATTTATATTTCTTAAAAATTATGGTACTAGTTCACAAGAATTACGCGTGATTCCCAATCACTTCGGTCACACTTGTTCATGGAGTGGTGAATGCGTTCGGTTTTATCCGAAAGAAAACAAAAGCGACCGATCTCTTGGATCAGTTACTATTAACTTTCTCACCGTTTAAGTACTTCTATAACCTTAACCATGTTAACTTATACAGCAGGAGCTGACCTATATTCAAAATTTAAGCTATATCATCTAATTAATTCCTTCCTTGAAAATAAAAATGACTTTTTTTTTTATGAATGACTAAAATAAGTCCCCATTTTCAGATTACTAAGCAAAATAACTGTGAATAACAACAATTACACAGCTAATTCATTCAATAAAAATAATAGCGATTAAAATGAGATAAATTTTAAGTTAACAATATAGTCTAACTAACTGGCAGATCTATAGGTCCCGTTGGGATTGGACATTATTGCAATAAATATTTATCTATATAACAATTAATAGATACTTTTTATTAATATTTTCCACTTTTCTCTCGCAATCTTTAATCTGACTTTCATAAAAAGCGTCCTTGACAACTTAATAGTGGACTCTTATATCTAAAAATCCAAAAAGCTACAAAAAATCGATGACAATTTTAAATCCGACAGTATATTCATAAAAAGCTCCGACGACTAGAAAATAGTGAATCGGTATATCTAAGAATTCTAAAAAGTTAGATAAACTATGCTAAATCTCAAATCGGATTGTGTTTGCATAAAAAGCGCCCCCCACTAGAAAATAGTGGACCCTCGTATTGTTAGAAATCCAAAAAGTTACATAAACTAGATAGATGATTGTGTAATTCTAAAAAAGACTTGCTAAAATAAATTATAAATTCAGTTATTCCAACTTCTATTGAAAACTGGAATAACAAATAAAAAGACAAATAGATAACTTCAGATTATTTAATATCCAAATGATAAAAAAATCTTTTATACACAGTTATAAAAGATAATATACAACAGTATATGCATATTTACAGCCACAACATTTAAGCACGTGTCAATAAAAAATTATTTCTAAAAGCATTTTTTTTTTTTTTTAACAGGCCTTGAAGAAATGACTCAAACATCATTTTATTTTTTATTCTTTCATAGTAATAATAGTTATGATAAAAATTAATAATTGGCAAATTAGTAAATACATAATACGTTAATAAATTGTTAATAAGGAAGTTCCATGAAGGGAATACGGTTTATTTTCATGAAAAGGGATTGTGTGGTGGGGGCAATATCTAACAACATAAAAGACGGCAACATTCGGCTGTTTTCGGGATTTCATAAACAAGTGTGATCGAAGTGATTGTGAACCACTCGTTATCCGTGCGGAACTCATGCGAATTAATACCAAAATTATTGATTGAAACTATGTCAGAATTAATGATAGAATATGAACAAAAGAGTAATAATACTGTTTTATTTATCTAGTTTTAAGAAATTATTTCAATTAATTTTCAAGTTTTCTATTTTTAAATATGGAACCATTTAAAGCCAATTAGAAATACAATTAAAACTTTAACACTTCTAAAAGAAATTATTCATAATGATATTAGTTGGAATAAAAGTACGTACTAGTTTTAATAAAGGTAGAATAAATGTTAAAATAAACTAAATTATACAAAAAAGAAATTAACATAGTTTAAAACCATTTCATAGTTAGTAGTGATGGATTAAACCATTATGTTTTTACAAATCAGCAAATATTCATCTTCAATATTCTATAAAGAAAATGATTTTTCTAAAATTATTTTTATTGACTATATATGGACTGGCCAGAAAAATGATAATCCCATTTTATTTTCTGATTTTTGATAAATTAATTTGGATTATTTTTTGTTTACTGTAAGTGGTTTATATCAATCCAAAGTTATTACATTAAATTTGAGGTCATATAAAGCAAATTAAAAATATAATGAAAAGTTAAAACAAACACTCAAAAGAAATTATATGACCATAATTATATTACTTTATATAAAATTTGTAATTTATATGAGTGGAATTTTATCTTATTTCATTTGTATTTATCATTTTTATATATTACTTCCACAATCCTCCATCAGAAAAACATTTGTAGATGCAATTCTCTCTTGATCAAAAGCGTGAGCCTCAAATTATTGATAAAGTGTTTGCAAAACATTATATATACATATAAATATATTACAATTGGTGATACACAACAATTTGCAAAGTTTTATGCACACAAGCAAAATAATTTCATAAATCATACATATAAAGCATTGTAAATAAGTTCTAATTATCTTCATTTATTTATTTCTTTAAGAAAATGAACATTTTATACTAATATCATTAGATTTTGAATATTGTGTTATGTCCAGTTATTTGAAAAGTTGAAGTGGTATGCAGTGACTTAAAACCTGTAGTTGTTTAATTGGTTCACTCTATAACTTGCAGTATGTCCTCTTAAATATGAAATTGAAATATTTTCCAGATGGCATAAACAAAAAGAGAAGCCACTTATTTTTTGTTTCGGTGTAAAAAAAAATTGCTAGAGTAAGATATGTTTTAAAATTCACATCACTTTCTTAATTTTAATTATTAACAGTACACTTATAAAAATACAAACCTCATGTTATCTTTTTCATATAGCTCTTGCCATGTGGATAATACCATCAGAAGTACCATTCCAACTCCCTCTCAAATCCTGGCAACTGTTCCATATGACCTGTGGCATACCATCCCTACTTTGCGGCCTCGGTTGCATCTTCTGTGTTGAGTCGCCAAAATTTCTAGTTGACCACGGTGACCATGTAAAAGCTCTAGAGGTCTGCAGAACAATCTACACAATAAACACAGGAAATCCACCTGCTAGCTACCCGGTAAGTCATCTTATTTATTTATTAGAAGTATTAGATTTTACTATTTGAAATTTGATTACAATCAGATTTCGGATTTCTATGCAGTAAAAATTTGGAGAATATGCAATAAAAAAACATTAAATATGCAGTGATAAAATATATAATATACCTTTAAATATATAACTAACAGGTTACAATCCCAATTCATAAAACTCTGCAAGTATTTTGAAAAATGGAAAATAAAAATAAATGATCAAAAAACTGAAGCAATTATTTTTACAAAAAGAAGACCACGCATAAACCACAATATACACATAAAAGAAGTACAGATTCCTTGGTCCAGTTCCGTGAAATATTTAGGCCTAGAACTTGATCAACAACACCATATTTTAATAGATATTCACAACTGAATACAAAAAATAAACTAATTTTATATAAAACAGTAATCCGCCCTTTAATCACTTATTCTGCCCCAGTATGGAGTTACACATGCGAGACAAATTACAAAAAACTCGAAGTAATTCAAAATATGTGTATGAGAATCATAAACAATTATCCACGTTATACCAGAGTATCTATTATGCTAGCAGAATTACAGCTTCCCACAATAAAAAAATATATTTATTTTAAAACACAGAGATTTTTTGAGCTTACACCAACGTCTGAAAACCCTATTATCCGAACAATAGGAAACTATGACAAAACATCTTTGAAACGGTATACACACAGACGGACTAAACACATACTACTAAATGACTAATTCAATCAGTTTATTTGTGAAAATTTAACGGTTTCTTATCAATCACCAAACAAGTAACAATAAACTCAATCACCCCAATCAACAAATTGTATTTATATGATGTGTGTGTATGTATATGTGCGGGTATGTGTGTGTGTGGATATATATATATATGTATATGTGGATATGTATATATATGTATGTGTGTATATGTATATATATGTGTGTTTTTCCTTTTGCACATAAATTATATTTAGTTTTCTTGCACTTTTAATGATTGTAACATAATTTTTTTTTCCTTTATATCTTATGTAGGTTTTTATGAGATTTTTGGTACCGTAAAAAATTAATTTCAATTTTCTAAGTAGTATTCAAACCACTGTTATGTCAAGTTTAAGGTTGTTAAACTTGTAACTTATCTGTATGACATGTTGTAATATATAAAGAAAAAAAAAAAAAAACCTTTAAAATGTCCAAAAATGCAATAACACGGCTGAAATTTATAATCACCCACATTCTCCAAAAAATACAAAAAATTTTGAATTAAAAATAAATCAAAATTTTAAAAATTATATTACTTTTTTTGTTTTTGTGTTTTCTTTTTTAATAAAACAAAACAATCCGTAATAAAAGAAAATTGTAGTAGCTAAAAATTAATTTATAACATGAAAAATAAATAAAGCAGATTAGTAATTGACTACATTAAATAAATAATGAATTCCTAAATTTGTGTAAGAAAAACTTAATTTTCAATCATTGAAATATAAAGAAATGATCTTTCTAACAAATATCCACTAAAGATTATTAATTTGTTTTCACAGGTAACTTGTTATGAACATTAGATGCAAAAAAACTGCTTTTCCATGAGTTTAAAAAATTTGTTACCGTATATATTGTAAAATAATAAATCCGATACTTCATTTTGGGAGAAAATGGTGCATTTTTGGCAACCTATTAACTATAAAAATAATGGTGACTAGTTATTTGCTTTTCATGCATAAAATACCTCATATGACGATGAATTTCATATTATTGTTGTATTGTGTAAAGTTTTAAGTAACATTTTGGAAAATTAAATTAAAATAATTTGATAAAAGAGAACTCTTTGAATCCAAAAGAATATGAACTTACAATTACAATATCCACTTGATGGGTTTTTAATAGATAAATTTGATTGAAATTCACAAATATATAAATAAAAGATTTGTTTGCTCTATCAAAAGTCTACTTGGTGACTTTTTCTAATAAAATGACAGTATACTAGAATATGATAGAAATAGACAAATATTCTTCATTGCTTTATCTTAAAATTAATGTTTTTATAAATTAAAGAAAAAACATTTAATATCTCTTAAATTTAGGACAATAAATCCCTCAATGAACTCATGATAGTTTAAAACAACTAATAATACCAAATGGTTGCAGGTGAAGAAACTACAACACCAGATCAGTAAATCAGACAAGAAGAAGTCATTCCGGGACAGTATGAACGAGACTGTCGCTATATTCAGACCACCATTTGTCAAGAGAGCACTCCTTGGTTTCATTATCCAGTTTATTGTTGTTGCCATGTGAGTTCTTTATTAATTTGTTATCTATTATTTGTTCTCCATTCCTGGATCAGCTACTGTTTGTTGTTATTTATTAATAGTGGAGATATCATTGACCATAAATATAATCAAAAAGTTGATGGGCTAACAATACAGAACTGTAAAAAGGAGTGTCTGTTATAAAAATTACAACATATTTTTCATCTAAAATGCCGCTCAAATTCTCTTTTTCCTAAATCTATCAACCATGCTCTCAATCACATGACCATAATCAAACTATTTATTTACTCAAAATTATCATATTGTTTCCTTAAATAACAAAAATCCTAACTTAATTTAAAAATTCAGAGAATTTATACAACATATTTATTACCTCAATGAAAAAAGTTCCTCTTTCACCCAACTATTACAAACTAAGATTACTGAACATATGAAAAACCTCTCCAGAATAATTTCCCCCATCTATCTATCTACCATTACTTCTGAGAAAAAAAATACATCACAAAATTCAATAATTAATCAGCTGATTAATTGATTTCATTAAATCTACCTGAATTTAAATGATAACTGGATGCACAGCACTTCATTCATACACTTTTTTTCGGTGCCTAATTCATTTATAGATATCAATATCTTCAGCTGAGGCCCAAATTTATCTACTCTCAATTCCTCAATCAAACTTATCTCAGAACCTGTTCCTACCTTTAAACCGTTGATGTCATCATTAAGGAAGCAGACAATGGCAAATAAGACTGTTATTTTGTATCTTACAGAATACATTATCGAAAATTTCATTGTAATTTTTCAAATAATTTTCACAAGGTTGTAATGGCTCAGCATTATCTAATACGGGGTCTCCAAACTTCTTGGCCCACCGGCCACACTGACACCTCGATTGAGTTCTGCGAGCCGCATTCAGACCTACTATCTGCAGGCCATGGCTTCAGATTAAAAAAAAATCGTGTTCTATAAATAACAGTTCAGCTCTGAAATAAACTTTCTACGAGAAAAAAACTCATGCCATGAATGTTTTAGTAACCTGGTATGTGAGTAATTTGCCAAATTTCATATTTTTAAATAAGTTTTAAAATTTTACCATGTAATCAAAGATACTTTTGCGGGCTAGATGGAAAATACTTATGGATCGGACGCGTGCATAGTTTGGAGGCCTCTGATCTAATATCTCAATGCATTTTAAAATAAAAAATTATAACAATGTATTTAAATATTGTCTAGAATCTATAAAACCATTATCTTACCTACAGTTCTTTATGGATGCGAAACGTGGCCACTTACATTAAGGGATGAGCAACGTCTTCAGGTTTTTGAAGATTAATTAAATAAAGTATGTTTGGACCGAAGAAGGATGAGTTAACAGGAGAGTTCAGACGGTTACACAACACCGAATTGTGTGAACTTTATGCAATTAATATAATTGAGGTGATTACAACACGGCGAATCAAATGGGCTTGTAAAATTGTTGGCTTAGTAACAAAAGAATTTCTAAAAGGTTAATATTTTCTGTATTGAATGGTAAATGTCAGGGGGTATACCGAAGCGAAGGTGGGAAGATTGCGTTAAAGCTGATCTGAAGGGACTGGGTTTGGATGGCGAATGGTGGTGGAAGGTGTGTAAGCAATTGGTGTTGGCATCGACCCTTCAGGTTCACTAAGCCGTTTATAATTTATTTATTATTATTTAAATATTGTAAATATTAAATATAACAATATATTTTAATTAATATTATAAAATCTGGATTGTGCAACACACAACTTTCACTTACAGCTCAACTTTGAATATAAATTATTTTTTTGGCCATGTTGGGCTATTATAAAATTTTTAAATTGCATTTTTAACTGAGCTAAAGCTAAAAGATTACAGATAACAAATCATAAATGCGATTAAAATAACAAAAGTACTATTTATTATATCACTAGTTGATTATGGATTGTACAATCCGTTGGTTATGGATCATAGGACTATTAGTTATTAAACTGTTATTTTCCATTACAAAGTTTACTAAAACGGAATTAAAAGATTAGCATTGTCTGTCATAGACAGGTCAAAAGTTTTCACACTAATTGTAAGTGGTTACTGACCTGATTGATATTAAAGACCAGTTAATTATACACTAATACACCGAGTTTAATCAAAATCGTTAGAGCGGTTTTTGAGAAAACTGTAAAAATATGTTTCTGTGTGTGCTTTTGATATCAAGCGGCGCTTCAGGTTAGCCGATTTTAAGGAAAAAGTTGCTGTCACATCTAAGGCATGTACCTAACTTAAGTACATAATATAAGTTCCATACGACTCAGGGTTCCTCAAAACGTGTATTTCCGTTGAAAACTCAGATTCGAAAATTTTCACAATTGCAATACTTTTCCTTACTATATATTACATATATAAGTAAATGAAAGTAAAAAGTGAATTGTTGTTGAATTAATGTCATGGTTTGTTGCAGCTCTAACACTGTCAGGCTATGGTTACCGGAGATGCTTATGCTAGTTAAGTCCTCTGAGCTAGATGCTGCTGAAGGACTTTGTTCACTCCTTGTCCAAGGGGGCAGTTCAACTAGCTCAAATTCAGTAAGTAAAAATAAAAGTAACTAAGAGATTAGATTTAAAAAGGTTATCCTCAGATATATATAAGTAATTTCTTTACTTAATAAATATATATATATATTTTGAGTGGAAAAAAATACTTCCATAGTAATATTTTTGTATTACTTAATCATTATTAAACCAATGTTTCGTAAATTTCCAACATCATCAGCGTTTTGGGTATTGTTTTTAATTTTTTTCATATCCTAAAATCCATGCAAAACATTTTGTCATAATAATTAAATTAAATGATGTATTTTAAATGTTCTAGTTGTCAGGGAAAATCACACTTGGCTTAAAATAAATTTATCTAAATTACACAATTGCTATAAAATGGTTTTCTCTAAAATAAAACACAGTTGCTTAAAAAAAATAATTAAATTTATTTATAATGACAAAATATTTTATATGGATTTTAGGATCTGGGAAAAATTAAAAATAATCTGTGCAATAATTAGTCAAGAATGGGACCCTGATGACGGAGGAGAACGTGCAAACATTAGTTTGATAATGTTTAAGTAATAAAATTCTTATTAATGTCATTTTATTACTTAAACATTATCAAATCAATGTTTGCAAGTTCTTAATACTGTATATATATATATGATAAACATTTGAAGTTGAACAAACAATTCTTAATAAAATTAGAAGGCTCAACTTTTTTCTATTTTATACTAGGATTTACTTAGATGCTATTAGCAAAAATTTTAAATACTATTTATTCCAAATGATGATTTTGCACTATTATTATCATATTATTATTAATTAATACAATATCACAATACTATAACAATAATATTATTATTATTACATTATTAACTATTATTTGTCATATTTAATATCATTAACTAACTTTAATTTTTATAATTTAATACCTATGGAGTTTACAAAGTGAGATAACGGTTTCAGAACAGAATTAGGGTTTGTTATTATATCAATATAGGATGAATTGTCCTTATTTGATAGAGTTTTAATTTTATTGATGAAATGATATTTTTCTGCAGTATATTTAATGCATTATTATATATTGTGGGTCATCCTTAACTTCACATAATTCACAATAATCTGTGTCTTTTCTTTTAATCAGATATAGGTAGGTAACTGCTTTGGCATGATTAATTCTTAATCTGCACATTGTTCTTACCCAAGTTCTAGGAGTTTTGCTATTATTAAAGCAGGGCTCCATTGTTACTAATGGGCAGTGAGATTTATAATGAATCTCTTTTCCTTCTTTTTCATAAATTTTCTGCCATTCGGTCTTCATTGAAATTTTTAATTCATAAATGGCATCTAAAAAACGTATGTGAAATTTATCAACCTGTCTTTTTGTTGCTTCCTTCGCTAAATGATCAGCTGATGTATTGCCTTTAATACCTGTGTGGCCCCTAATCCAAGCAAATACTACTATTATTTCTTGTCATTCAATAAAAATAATTTTTTCTAAACTAGAAATTATCTTTGATGCTTTTGAATTTTAATTATGATTTCCTAGTTTTTTTATGGCACTTAAAATGTCAGTTAGATTAATATTTTTTTTAATAATTTCTGTCTTTTATATAATCTAGAGCTGGTAATATCGCTGTCAGTTCGGCCACGTAAACTGAAGCCTTTTTGTGTATACTAATAAGGATGCTGTGATTATCTATAGCATTATAGACAACAGCTTCTACTCCCTTAGGGCTCTTAGATCCATCAGTAAATATGAGTTGAAAAGATGGAAATTTTAATTTAATATATTCATTATCTTTTAATAGTGCTTTCTGTAACTATATAATCAGATTCTTATTTATCTTGTGTTTAAGTAGCTGTATAATAACAATTTTTCAGGTTTGCTTTTTGGCAAAACTGTTTTTTAAATTAAAGAAGAGAACTTTTAAATAAAAGCTATATTAAAACTTTTATTAATAAATTCCTTGAGTAAAAGTTCAAGTCCCGAATAAATTGAAAAACATTTGAAAATAGATATTCCTTTCATGTCAGAATTAACTTTTCATTTCAACCTCTGGAACAAAGGTTTTAGAATCAAAATAGATTATTATTTTTAACAATTCATTTTCTATAATTGAAACTTCAAGTGGTGTTAAGTCCAAATATATTTTTTTTTTTTTAGTAGACAATCTTATCATTTATCTTATCAACATGTCAATATAACAACTCAGTTGTTTTTATTAAAAAATGATGAGGTCCAAATTATTAGACTGACTCATAAAAGGAAAAAAAACAAAAACATATCATTATTCACAAATTATATTTATATGTTGATTCAAATTTGAGAGTAGTTATCACTTCCCTTTCTTAAATAGTAAATTTGAATTATGCTTGGTTCATAATTTAATATATTTTATTAACCTGCAGCTATTTTTGTTGTAAATTTTGTAAAAATAAAATATTTATCAGCTTGCTTTAATAAAAAATATTTAAATAACACTTTGCATTAGATAGAATAATATAGTTAATTTTTACAATACTAAAAATATTAATAAAAAACAAATTTAATGTGCAATATTATTTTTTGTTTTCCATATAATTTTGTTCATCAATAAAGTAAAAATGATCAAACTCAAACTAATTATTGTTATTTTTAGCCTTCTAAACTATGAAAATTGTTTTTAAACAAATTTTAACAATAAGGTACCTACCTACATTGAGTTTTAAAATTCTAGGTTAAAATTTATTGATATATTTATAATGTATAAAAAGTAATTAGTGAATACTCTGTTATTAGGAAGCGCAAGAAGAACGGACTCAGGTATATATTGAAATGATGTTCGTCAATTTAGGCAACATGTTGGGTCATATCGTCTTTGTACTGTTAGTTAGCTATTTTGGAAAGAAGACGATGCTCAGTAAGTCAAATTAGTTAGTACTTTATTATTTTTATCATGTAAAATTGATTTTATTTCTTTATGAGTATTACTAAAATTATGCTATTACATTTTTCCATAAGATATGTTTTATTAACAAAACGAGATAACTCCATTTTTTTTTTTTTTTTAAACTTCCATTTAGGAAAATTTTATAATATTGCTATCACATGTATATTTGTGGCACCTATGCATAGTGTGTTAAATGAAAAAATAATAATTATGGAAAAATGCAATTGAAAGTTTGGAATTATCACAGAAATAAGTACAATGTTTGGGTTTCAACACATGATTCACAAAGAAATGTTCATCTCTATAATAGCCACATAGCTTAGAGAAAAATTAGCTTTTCGGTGATACTCACAAAAATTCACAAAATTACACTTAACACACTTTTCACAGGTGCCACAGATATATTTGCAGAAAACTTAATTTTCACTGCAAGTAAATAGTACATATTTAGTTCGGATTATGAAATAGTCCAGATTAGCAAGAGTCCAGTTTATTGTAATTTACTGATATCTTAAAATTTGTTAATTAGCTATCAGTATAAACAAGGTAAAACTCAAATCGTTTAAGAAAATAATATTACGCAGTAATTATTGGATACTAAACATTTCAATCATACTGAGTTGTTGTGAATTATAAAAGTCATATACTATTTCTCCTTTTACAGTTTTGTGCAGTATCTTAAGTGGAATATGTGCAATTATCATTCCAATGGTAAATGCTAACTACGTCTTTCTTCCTGCCTCTGCTTTCATTACGGTCAACAATATTGCATTTTGTTCCAACATAGGCATAGTAGTCAGTATCTTCCCAACTAGGGTGAGGTTAGTATATTACATTATATTTACACTTAATTATTTATATTTATTCTCAACAATGTATTTATATAAATAATTTAATTTATAAACATTCAGATAGAACGTTGTGTTTCTATAGCGTTATAAAAAATATTTGGAGGCTTAAAATTAATTGGAAAACTTAAAATAGTGAAAAACTATTTTATTTTAAGCCAACGTTTCAACCTCACAATGGAGATCTTTATCAGGGCTAAAACGAACAAGATACAAAGGATATAGAAAATTGTAGGAGTTACAAGATATTTAGAAATGGATATATAGTTGACTGTTGTGATTTTTTTTTTTTTTTCTGTTGGCATTACAGACCATGTATGTAGATCTTTTGCCACCTTAACAAGCCTGCTCCATCTCTGCCTGTCTTGGGCTATTTCTTTCCATTTATCTGCACGCAGCTCTATTGCATCTTTGTTGATTCTATCTATCCATCTGCTTTTTGGCCTTCCACGTGGTCTTTTGCCTTCTATTGAGGCATTCATTGTTACTTAGAGGCTTCCAGATGGATTTTTACGAGCTACATGCTCCACCCATCTTAACCTCCGTGCCTTCATATCATGGGATATTCATAGACCAGTTTCTGAAAGCAGTTCTTTTTTAGTCTTTCTTCTACATGTGTTAGTACTCTGTGATCCCAGATCGCTCTGATTATCGTTCTGAGAATTTTTCTCTCAAATCTTTCAACACTATTTCTAGGGTGCTAAATAGTGTCCAGGTCTCACAGCCATATATTATAACAGGCCTTTTCATACCCTTAATTTATGATTTCTTGAGACTTTTCAAGATTTCAATAACTTTGAAAGGAAGAAAAAAGCTCTGTTTGCACTAGTTATACGCTGGTCTATTTCTTCCCATTGGTCATTCATTGAGCTTATTGTGGAGCTGAGGTATTTGAATTTTTCTACTCTCAAGAATGATTTTCCTTCTACGCAGATCCTGTTATTGGGGTGATATTTTTGGCTGATATTTAAAATATTTTGTTGTGTCTTCATTTACTTGTAGGCTGATCTGCTTATCTCTCTTATCGATATATTTACTCTGTTATCAGAGCCTTAACGAGTTTTTCAATATCCTCTTGCTTATTTCCAAATCTTATAAATTTGATTACTTTTGTTGAAATTATTTGGTTAACGAGTTAGCCAATGTTTCAACCCAAACATCGGCTAACTCATTAAAGAAATTTATGACTGCAAATCCTGACAATTTTTTTTCATTCCTGCAAGATATTAAAATTGAAATTTATAAACAGCATAAATAGAAAGGTTTTTTTTTTTGCTGCTCCTAACGAATGTCTGCTAGATCAGCTAAGCATAATCTTGCAGTCCAATTTCGCTTCCCTAGCGCAAAAATTGTCTGTTTCACTAAAAGCACCTCTTATGTCCTGTAATGCAGAGCATATATCAATATGTTCTCCTGTCTATGGAGCATAGAGGACAAATATTTTATACCAATGCAGCGGATGTGCTTCTGCAGAAAATTGTGCCCTTAGAAAGTATATAAATATATTAAAAACATTAAAATATAAACAGAGTAAATTAAGTATTAAGAACATTCAAAACTAAGTGACTAGAAACTAAAATAAAGTAAATAAAATTGGTATGAATAGTATAACAATAAATGTAGATGTATATCCTTTTTATTGTATTAAATTTTTTCTTATCTACATTTATTGATACCAATTTTATTTACTATATTTTAGTTTCTGGTTACTTAGTTTTATATTTGAATGTTCTCAATACTTTCTATTTAGACTGTTTATAATTTTCTTAATTTTATTTAAATATCTTTCACCCCCTACAATTTTCTATATCCTTTGTATCTTTGTCGATTTAGGCCTGATGAAGACCTGCCTATGCAGGTTGAATGCGGTTGGGCTGAAACATTGGCTTAAAATATAAATATAACACATTATACATTTTAATCAATTATAAATAATTAAATTTACTATTTCTATAAATTGTTTATTTTAATTCTACAGTTTTATCTACATAACTCCAAAGGTTTGATAAGTAATTCCAAATTATTAATATTTATTATATTTTTTTTTTATTTCAGGGCGACTATAGTGAGTACAACAATGTTGTTGGGTAGAACTGGAATACTGATGGTCAACTTCCTCATCGCTAATCTTATCTACTCGTTCTGCCAGTACTTCTTCTATTCTTTAGCTGTGATGTCATTAGGTAAATTGAATTTTTAATATAATTCACAGGTATAATTTATTTGATACATTTTTGATTAATGAGAGGTATAGGGAGAGGGATAAATATTTTAAGCAGTGCTGCCTAATAATAAAGGGACCTAAATAAAAAAAATCTGATGTGCACATCACACAACCTTCACTTACCAATCTACTTTGAGAAGAAAAAGTGTTTTCATACGTAGAGAGGTGACAATAAAAATTATAGACATTAAATCATATAATTTAAAACAATTAATTAAACCATATATTTTTTCTGACAGTTTAATATATTAAATTCATGAGTTTTTTGTCACTAACCATTTCCTTTTACGACTGTATATTTTAATTATTTATTTAATAATAATAAATAATTAAATATAATTATAATAAATAATTGAGTGCCACAAATTTTTTTTTTTAGTCCAACAAGAATGGTAATGATAGAGGAGGCTGCTGTATTCATTTATATTTCATTATTGATATTTTTATTTGTTTGAGCCCTGAGATATATACAAATTTTAATTTTTATATTTCTCTAATCTATAAAATTAAATATTAAATAACACCAACTCTAGTAGCATTTATGAAATCTGCATGAGCATATGTAAATACTAATATCAGGGCCCAAATGTTCCGAAAAGATTATATTAAGCATTGTTAGTTTATTACTGGATATAATGTGAAATGGTTTATTATTTCAAACAAAGATAATCAATGGTACTTTAGAGGAAGAAATTTTGAAAATTCGGCAAATAAGCCCTTTTAGAATATTTCAATGAGAATAATACATGCCTAATGTTAAATACAACTTAATTTTAAACTGATATAATGAATTTAATCAATATCGTTGGAGCCATTGCTAAGAAAATTGCAATATCTAATGCACTGAATTTTCATGAATTATATTAATTTTATTATGTTTGTATTTATAATATTCTTGGGGTTTATTAACTTTACTAGTTTCATACCTGTTTTACTTATATAATTTTTAAAAAAATAGATTAAACTTAAATTAAAATTGTTTTCCTTTTTTTGCTTCCCAATTTTGGAATTACGCTAAAACGGGCACTTTTTCATCAAAGTGGAAACGTTGGATGTATCATACCAAATTTTTAGATACAGTTTGTACTTAACACATTAAAAATATATAAATCATGTCCTCATAATAAAATTGAATTAAATACTAAACTTCCATTTGTCACTAATAGTCTAATCTCAAATAAAATTGATGTAATTACATGGTAAGATTGGGGAACCCAGAGACACAGAAAATACGAAGTTTAAAATATTTGCAATTAAAAAAAACCTGATTCCTTAAATGTGTATCATAATAAAAAAAAAACAAAGCATCTTATATAGGCATATACTATATTAATCAATATTGTTTTAATTATTTAATTAATATTTGTTCCAGGATTAACCATACTAGGCTTATTCCTGTCAACTGAGCCTATTGATGAAGGTTCTTCGACAACAAAAACACAAAAAAACAATGATTTACTAAATACATAGTATTTAGTAGTTCCTCATTAATGTTAGTCCAAAGAATACAAATGTGATATATATATTAGTTTGTAAGTTTTTTTATACTAAATTTGTTTTTGTAATTGTATACTTTTTAAGTCTGTTCTAGTCCAAATAAATAACCATTGATCAATGTTCTTTATTTATCACCTCTTAAGGTATTTTCATCTACAACTACTACTTATATGTTGTGTGTTGATGGTTCACTGTAGAGAATAATTGAAGAGGATGGTTGGGATGATCAGTCCCCCACATCAAACCTATCCTTACTTAGCATACTCCCAAATTCTAAATGTATTAAAACATCCATAACTATCTTCTTTTACCTTTCGTTGACAAGTTCCTTATTTCTCTTTAATTTAATTCTTATATTAATATATTTTTTCGTTTTCTTTAATCTCATGTTTTACGTTTATTTCAGTAATACTCTTATTTAATTTTTATTATCTCTGTTTTATACTATCTCCACATTATTTCCATCCTCTTTTAATTCAAATTTTATTTAAATAACTCATAGAATTTATATATTATATATCTTTTGTCTATTATATACGTTTCTTGTGCTTTAGTTCCATTTTTCAATGGACAGATGGTGGATTATCGGATTGAACGGGTTGTTAATTTTCCTTATCTTAGTTTCCTACTTTTTTCCTCCTTCCCGACACTCTATTTTCCATAGCCCTTCTATTTTGTATATATTGATACATTTTCTCATTCTGTTTTACATTATATTAACTATTTATTCTCTTAAATGTAGTCAGTATTTTTGATAGATTTTACAATATCTTAATTTTCTATTTATATCTATTATTTCCTTATATTACTTCATATTCCTTTTCTCTGTTTTACATTTTACGCTAAGATTAGCATTTTTCATTTCTTATGTTACCTTATTTTTCTTATGTTTATTTCATTCGTCCGTGCTTTGTTTCTATTATTATTATTTATTTCTCAGTTCTCTGTTACTGTTATTATTATACCTATTTTATTTTACTTTAATGTTCACGCTATCTACTTCCTTTAACTTTTGAGTTTTTTCTACCTACATTTTTTAGTCTATACCTTTTACCTTTTATTATTTTAATTCTTTATTATTCAATGTTTATATTTTCTCATACCTATTGTTATCTGGTTCTTTTCTTAGCCCTGAAATTCGAGACGAAACATCAGCAAATGTAAAAATAAATGTTATTTATTTTTGCTATTTTTATTTTGACAGATCACCCCAATCATTCTTCTACTATTTATGTTTTATAACTCAAATATTACAAACATCAAATGAGCTAATATAAATCACACATGAGGAAGACAGCACCCAGCGATGCATCAGGACATTCTGCAAAATTTTGTCACACCAGGAGATACCACATCCAACTCCTTTTCATCCTTCGCCGAGGTACATCAAGAACGTCATTTGTTGCCATTTGTTTATATGTGCATGTAATTTTTTCCGAAACAATTTGTAAATCATATGAATGTGAATTGTTGCGGTCGGATGGCATAAGTCAGTGTGAAGGATCTTGTTTGAAATAAATGGTGGTGAGTTCGTTATCAGTTTTAAAAATTTGTATCTTTTTTGTAGGTTCATAAATTTTGCATGTATAGGTCCATATGGGTTTTAGTAAATACGTATAAACATTAAGTTTACATCTGAAGCATTTCAACAAATACTTCTTTATTTAATTTTTTAAAAAAGTAGTTAGATATTGCAAAAAATTATGTCAACAATTATGGTTGTAATGCTGTTACCAAACTAAGTAAAAATATTTATTTTTGAATATATCCAGTTTTGTGAATTTTTCAATAAAACTATTTTTCAAATTTATATATCTCGTCAGAAGATTCATATAGGTGTTATTGCTTTTAGTGGTCTTGAATCATCAATATTGAGGACGACAGTTTCAGATCTAATAGCCTAGTATTACTTCCCTTAATAATGTGATATATGTTTTATTTTATTATTATTTATTTATATTTACAACTGTATTAAAAAAAATACAATTAGTAAATGTGAAACAGAAAATAATAACATGAAAACTCTTGTTGAGAAACTACCCACTGGTAGTACTCTAATTTTATTTTATTAAATTTTTTTGTTTCTTATTTCAAATCTAAGTGTTCATACTTCAAGAATTATCACGGAAAAATATTTATTTGTTGAATCTTTTATTTCATTGATCCTACTAACTTCAAACAATACTCATCCCAAATTATTCGATTTGCCTATCATTAGAATAATTTGGATTCTATCTAAGAAGTTAGGCCATGATAACTGAGCGTGTTCGACCAGATTTCCTGAGCACCCAGTTCAGTTAATTTTTATTAATATGAATAAAAAATAGCATTTAAATTTTTATCAATGCATAAAACACTTTTAATGGGTACAGAACTTTGTTTTCCTTGAATGTAATGATAAACAGGAAGTTCTGCAACAGGAATATTTAGACATTTCATATAATGGACAGTTTTGTAACAAAAGGTATTGTGAAAAAAAAAACTAACGAGATATTTTATCAGTGCAATTATGAATCATTGATAAATCACAAAGAACAATAATTTATATCATATTACTCATAAATGAGAAATCTTTGTCGATTTGGCATCTTTTTTTATCTGAATGATAAATAAAAAATCAGTTGGCAATATGATGACATTATATCATTGCATTCAGTTGATAACAAAGTTGAAATAAGTAGGAATTATTAAATATAATAATAATAAAAACTGATTAAAAAACAAACTCTGATTCCATCAAAACATTATTGTTGGAAAGAAGGTAAAAAAGATTGTTTATCACATCCTATTTCCTCTACTTATCCCAGACTTATGATAAATAAATTAAGCACAGCCTGAACAAGCTCCCAATTTTCTGGGATAGAAATAACATTGACTATTTGCTATGGATTGTATCAACGTCAAAAATTATTTCAAGACGACACTACATGATTGGAATCTTCACTTTTAGTTTGAAAAGTTAATTTAAAAAAGAAGACATATTTCTTAAAAGTTTTCAACATTTTAATTTATTTCAAGTTAGAATGAAGAATGGGACAGCCTCCCAAAACTCTACATTAATCACAGTAAGAACAAAGAAATCAAACGCTGTGATTCTTAAGATGGAAAGGAAGTAAACCAACTCTCGAAGAGAGGAATTTATTTTTCTAAAGCCCTAGAAAATAATTCAAGCTTCGAATACTTCATGTGTATAAAATATTTTTTTAAATTATAGTCGCTGATCTCCAGATTGAAAATGTAACAATCCCGACAATTTTCATTTAAAATAAAAGTTATAGGTAACGATGAGATGAAGCTATTCATGAAATTTTAGGCAGATATTAATAATTTCATATATAAAGGGGTCTGTATCACAGACAATTATTTAAAATTATCTTTTTTTTTTTTTTTTTTTCTTTATATATTTGTTTATTTAGAAATATTACATTCTGTCACATCAAGGACATTTATAATAGTGATCAGAGAAAGCACACTCACACTCTAACAATTTATTTATCTTAACCTTAACTAAACCCTTTAAAACTTTTTTTATTTATTTTATTTCAAAACATTTGATGTTTCAGGCTCTATGATAATGAAGAATTACATAGAAAAATAGCAAAAGGATGAGAAACCTGCTCGGTGTTCGAGGCTGGAGGACATCAGCACTAGACCGAATTGACCTGCTTGAGGAGGCCAGGAACCAGTGATGGGTTGTAGAACCGACCGATGATGATAATGATGTTCCAGGCACACCTTGCCTGTTTTGATGTATTTTTTAAAATTTATTTTTATAGTGACTTCTACTCTCATTTTTGGTATTAAAAAAAAGGGGGGAAGTGAAAAATGAGTAAAATAAATGAAACAATATAACATACTAAAAATTCTTTTAATATATATATTTTTCTATTCACAACCAAAGAATAAGTTAATCTATGGAGATAAAGATACAATATCTAAGATAATGCTATAATACATGCGACCTTGGAAGAAGACATGAGATTTACATTTTAAAGAATATAGACATTAATTTACACACAAATACATATTACATTCATTATTACAACTGCTTCACTAATTCTACATTTACAATATTTACAGATTAAACAAAATAAAAAGGTGCCTCAATTAAAAGTCTATTAAAAAATTTCTTAAGATTGCTTTGATTTAATTTCATAAAATTAATATTTTACTTGAAAAGAAATATTATAACAACAAAATAAAAGCAATGTGAAAAAAAAAATTATAAAACTTTGTGCGATTAAAGTAGGAAAATCAGTATTAGTTATTAACAAATAAGTCACTTGAGCTTTCAGCCATAATATCTTGAAATCTAAATTATGTATTTAAAATTTTAAATATTTTTTTCTATTAAAAAATTGAAAATTATACACAGTAATTTTTAATATAAATATAAATAATCAATAACAAGCTTTATACACATTTTTAGGTAGTATATAATATAGAAAAAATTTACAACTGAAATAGTCGGCGATTGCCATGTGATATAATTATGAATATTATATATTAAAAATAGTTATATGGATAAAATGACTATCACAATAAATATAAAATATACAGTTTCAGTCCTCTGCTACAGTTATTAAAATTTATATCTATAAAGCAACCTCCTGACATTAAATATAAAGTTGATGATCAATTGAATGAATTTTTCTCTTCGATGATAGAAGATAAGTTTGTGAGCTAAACAAGATGTATTACAAAAGCTATAAAATTAAATAAATATATGCACATTATAAAACACAAAGTTTAAATTAGTTCATATTGAATGGTATCCATCTGAACGGATATTTAATAGCATTTTTTTCTTAAAATAAATTTCCTGATTCTAATAATCCACCAAAAGTTATCATACATAAAATATGTTACTAAAATTATACAAAATAATTTGACACATATTAATTGATTGTTTGCCTTTCAATTCATAAAATTTTAACATATTAGTCACTTGGTAATTAAGAAAAAAAATTTGAGCTTTACTAAGAAAAATGAATGATTTAGAACAAAAAAAAAAAGGTTTATCACAGATTAATAAATTATTTAATATGACATGGTCCTTTATTGTGCCAGACATGGAAATTGTGCGGTAGAGCGATTGTGTTTAAGATGACTCTTGACTAAATGCCCAGCAGCAAGGGCTGATAGCAGAGATATTTCGCCGGCAAGTACGCTCGCACATACCAGCCGTGCTAAAGTATTAGCATTTTCACCTGGGCATTCTTGATGAGCTCCACGTGCTCCGATGATATCCAAGCAGGCCGATTGCGGTGGAAGCTGAGTTCCTCCGCCAACGGTGCCAATTTCTATAGAAGGCATTGTACAAGAAACGTAAAGATCTTCACCATCTTCACCCCAAGGCTCCATCAAGGTGATACAATTGCTACTTCCAACATTCTGCGCTGGGTCTTGCCCGGTAGCAATGTATATCGCTGTAACAATATTCGCTGCATGAGCATTAAAACCCCCGATGCTACCAGCAATGGCAGATCCAATAAGATTCTTGCTTATATTTACATCGATCAGAGCTTGAACAGAGGATTTTAAAACATTTTTAACAACTTTTGATGATATAATGGCTTCGCTAACAACTGATTTACCTCTCCCTTCTATCCAGTTCACTGCAGCCGGTTTCTTATCTGAACAAAAGTTTCCACTTAAACTGAGAATTTCCATATCAGGGAAAATCTTCTGAATTTCAAGCAAAGCAAACTCTGTAGCTTTAGAAATCATATTCATGCCCATGGCATCACCGGTCCTTGCAACAAATCTTACAAAAAGATGCCTTCCAGCAATACGGCAATGTAGTTTGACTAGTTTTATAAACCTGCTGGTATTATTAAAATGAGATTCGATATGAGGAAAATTTTCGCTGCTCTGTATCCAAGCCATAGCCTCACTGGCGCGAGCTATTGACTGGAATCTAACAACAGGACCTCTAGCCATTCCATCAGCGACTATTCGTGTAGTTACACCTGCGTAAGAAAGTGCTCTGCAACCTCTATTAGTACTGGCTACAAGACATCCTTCAGTTGTTGCCATAGGAATGTTTATTTTCCTTCCGTCTAATAATAGGGGTCCTGCAATTCCAACCGGTATGGGTATATATCCAACAACATTTTCACAGCAGGTTCCCATAACTTTACTGTAGTCATAATTTAAATAAGGTAAATTAGTAAAAGCCCTCGAGATACCATATCTTTCACCAATTAAATTTCTTCTAATTTTTACTCCTCTTTCTGGATTATTCAAAATTGTCTCTAACTGATAAGCCGGAATCACACCATTTTCTGCAAGTAATTTGATTTCATCATCATTCAATTCCTCAGCAATATCCCCAGAATTATTGATCTCAACACATTTTTCTAGAGATCTAACCTCTACTGAATATTGTTTATCCTCTTTTAATTCTGTTTTTATTTCTTCAGGTCCCAAATATATTTTTTCAGTTTGAATAGCTGCGTTCTTGCTGACTAAAATTGTAGGAACCCTTCTTTCCATTTCATATCTGGGTTTTTCATTTAAGCCAAATACTTCACTCGGGATCATATCATCTTTATCTTCAAAGAAAATGAATTTCACTGTAAGAGCCAGGAGAAGAATAAGGACAACTATGTGATCAGCACCAAGTGTTATCCAACGAAGTAAATAATCTTGTGCAGCGGGGTTAGGAGCATTTAACTGAATTGTGTGATCAGAAGTCATCAGAGGCAAAACACTCTCTTTTATATCCACTTCTTTTAATATCCAACGACTATGAAGGTGAACAAATACAAGACCCCCAGACATAATCATTTTTACTCTTTGCAAAACTGGATTAGGTTTTTGTCCATGTTCTTTTAATTCTGTTATTGTCTTAAAACGACGATGCCATGAAGGAGTTTTTCCAGGATCACTACGAGCCAGTTCCAAAATAAGACTGAGACATGAGGGATAAAAAGTCATAAAAACCATATAGTTAACCAAAACTGAAAGGCATGCAAAGTAGCAAAGAATTTCTAACCTTCTAATACCAGATAAAGTTCCAACACTAACTACTAATGTCTCAACAATTGTATCTAAAGTCAGAGATGGGCCTAAATGAGCCATTCCACGAGCGATATTATGTTTCACTTCTTTTTGGCTCGATGCGCTCAGTGCAAACTGTGCCAATAACGCTGCTTTAGACAAATCGATCAATAAAAGAAAGCAGAACAGTGCGTCTTTAAGGTCTGCGACATCTCCTGTGAGGCAATTTATAACGCTGGAACTGAATACAAAACTGGAAAACACTGTAAACAAACCAGCAATTCCTAGTATATATTTAGATCCCAATTTCTGTAAATTTCTAAACTGATAGTAACTATAAAGAACAGCAACGCACCTGATAATAGTCATAGCAATCACATCGAGTGCATTGTAATCCTGGCATGGAGGAGTTTCGCACAATTTTTGAGAATATGAATGAAAAACATTACCAGTGTCTATAGAGAGGATGCAGGCAGTGAGTGTCAAAGTTGCAACTATCACCTCCCACGGGTGGCTGGCGCAGAATTCGCCATGTGCTCTGTACAGTCCGACCATCGTATCTTGAAGTGTGAAGTCAGCAGAATGAAGAAGAGCAGCTCGGTTTTTGAAGAAGTAGCTGATTAGAAGTCATTGCTAGGGCCAGGTTAACTCGTCAGTCCTCGCTCAGCAATTGGGACCGAATAACCTCACGCTTACATCACGGATCGATTTCACAAAGCCAAGGACATATCCCCCTACTTTCTACGAACTTTCACTAACACACGCTCAACCGACAGACCATGTAATCTTCTTCAACGGAGAAAATATATTTATGTAACTTAATTAAAAAAACTTATTACAAAATTTGGTCCAATTTCACTTTTTTTTTTCGATCACTAGCGGCCTTATCATATAACTCTTCATCAAATGTTTGCTAAGATCTGACGAAATTCTTTGAATTTAAAGACAATTTTAACGATAATTATGACGTCTAACTCATTTATTTTATAATTTAGAATCCTATTGTTAAGATAAATAGATATTTTTTCTCTCAGCAACTAGCATAGGTAATGTGTGTAATTATATAGATTACCTTGACATATTTTTTTCTTAAATGCTCAGATAGATGAAAAATTTACTTAATATTTTAATTTTACTAGAAAGATATCTACATTATAACATGATTTATTATTAAATTAATCTGATTTATTTATTTGTCTGAACATCTGGAATTCATGATCGTTATAAATTTTAATTTGGAATCCATTATTATAATCTACAAAATTTTTATCTACATACGAAAATTCTCAGAAATGAGATGTTTTCTCATTAAATTAATTAGGTAATAGGTAAAAATATTGTTGGTGAATTAGTAAAAATAATATGGTGATTAAAAGGGAAAGAAATTAAGGATGAATGTTTTGATAAATTGAAGAGAAGAAAGGAATTTTTGTTGAGTTTTGGACAAAAAAAAATAAAACAAAACATTTTATATTTAATAAAAAAATTATTACCATTGAGTATTATTCAATATACATATATGTTTTTAAAAAATGTTTTTGTTATATTTGCTAATGTTATATTTTTTAAAAGAGAAAAAAAATTGAAAATGGCTCTTGGAGCCGAAACGTTTAATCATAATTTTAAATGTAAAATAAAATACTGTGAGATTAAAAAGGGATTTTCACACTTGAAATGTAAAATAATTTGATCACAAAATCAAGGATAAAAAAGAGGACTACAAAAATAGTGGACCGTTTGACTTATATAACCTATATTTTGGGGGTGAAAGTTACGCAATACGGCCATATATTAATGTAGACTGCCTTTATTCTAGATTTTGTGATTGAATAATATTACGATTCAGGTGGAAATGTTTTCTTAGAACCTCAAGCAGTTTTTAGTACCTCATTTATCTCATTTCAGATTGAAAACGTCCCGATTCCGAGATTTTTTGTAAATAATAAAGTTACGATGAGATGAAGCTATTTACGAAGTTTCAGGCGCATGTTAATAATTTGATAAAAAGGGACCACGGACTACATTTCTGAGGTATGAGGTTTTATTTTTTAACAAAATATTATAAATTAATCATTACATTTTTTCTATCTTATAACTTTCGTTAGCAAATGCTAGCTTCCAAAAATTTAAAAATGATATCAAATTAAGATAAACTGTCTTGGACAAGTAATTAGCATCGTTCATTACATTTATCAGGTCTTGTATAGAACAGATACGCCAATTACTTTTCAGTAAGGGAATGTTCCTAACTAGATTGATAGTCATTAATTATTAATACAAATCAATGATCACATTTTTATTTATAAATGTATGTGTAAGTCAGAAAAAATTTGAACTTTATGAAAAATTAAAGTACGGAAGAAGTGTCTGATTGTTTTAAATACCAAAGGTATTGGAAAGTTCCTAATCTCATTTCAAATCTCATCGATGGAATTCTATAGATAATTATAGATTACATCAATGTAGATTCATTGGTTCCATCGGCTTTTGAGATCGCTGGATCCAATAACCTATGCAACTTGTAGAAAAAGAATTGGATCTGAGATCTTTCCAAGCAATAAAACTCTTGTTTAGAATGTCTATACAGTTCAGCCTAAATGGTAAGACCATTTCTTAATGTATTTCATTTGAAAATTGTTATGTGTTTTTTTTTACTTTCCTACCTATACTATGTAAGAAAAGTATTGCGATCGGGTCAAATTTCTGATATGCGGTTTTCGACGGATCTATACGTTTCAGTCCGAAAAACACATTTTTAACCTTTGGTCTGTCTGTCTGTCTGTGCCAAGAGTTTCTCAGGAACTACTGAACCGATTTAGTTGTTTCTTTTTTTATTTTGTAGGGTTTTGACTACGGACACCTGTGACAGAAATTCGGTGCTCCATGCGCAATAAATGAAAAACATGTTTTTCTATAGACTGTAGCGCTCGAACGATTTTGATGAAACTTTCCAATAATGTTCTAATAATTGTCCTTTCAATTTTCGTATATAGACTAAATTCCCGAGAAATTTCAGGAAAAAAAGTTATAAAGAAAAGAAAAAAAGTTATGGGGCCTAACTCACTAAGTATATATTATACGTTAAAGTTTATAATAAAACATTTGAAAGATAATTAAATTACCAACAAAACAAAAAAAAAAATTATCGGAATCGAACCAGTATTAGCGATAATACAGCTCATTCTATTTTCTACACATGTTTTAATTTATTACTTTCCTACCTATACTAGGTAAGAAAAGTATTGCGATCGGGTCAAATTTCCGATATGCGATTTTCGACGGATCTATATGTTTCAGAGCTCCTGACTCCGAATTGTTTGACAAAATTAAGCTATGGCAAAAAGTTTTTGATCAGAAATATTAGAGAGTATTGAAATTTTTACAACGATCTACCTTAAGCCGGTTTACGTTGCTTTAGTTTATCAAATAAATCGCACTCAAATCTTTTCTTTGATCAATTTCAGGAAAATAAATCTAATTCATTGTTTTTGGTTTCTTAGTTTGAACATATGTAAAGATATAAAAACTTTTCTGAAATAGGTAGGAAAGTCGTGTGAGTGAACACACCAGATTTTTTTTTGCAAATAATATTAATTTAAGATCGAAGAAAAATCGAATAAAATTATGAATAAACATTGGATTTGGAAAAATACTTTATTTACAATCGCAATATTGTTTCAATGAAAAGTTAATTTAATTCTTGGAACTTTTAACTGCAGTGGTCAAAGAATAAAAAATCTTTATTAACTATAATGGAGGGATTTGGACAAAAAGAGGATACACACATTTACTGACATGAACCGTAGTTTGTTTAGGATCCAAATCCTTGACCAAAAATACTTCTGAGTTCAAGTATGTGTGACCCAACACATTTTAATTAAATACGTGAACATTTGTAAACAATTCAATTGCGGCAATCAAATCAGTGTTACGTTCACGATGCGCCGCCATCTCGTACAAATTAATAAGACATCCCAGCAAGAGGTATTCCTGGAATGAATACTATTCTTTTACGTTCATTTTCGTTGTTTCATTATATTATATATAGCAATTTATAATGGTCTTTAAATTGTTCCAAAGAGGTATAATATATCATAAAATGGATATTAAATGAAAAACAGTTCCTAGAAGAATCAATTAACAAATGAAACTGTAACTGCAATACGAGCTGATAAACCATTATTGTTGATTTTATAATGTTAAACTTTAATAATAAAGAATAACTTTTAAGAACTGTTTAGCAAAGTTTGTATCGTTGATCAGTTGTTAGAATTCGTCCACCATTTTATGGACTTACTGATAACAAACAATCCAAAAATGATCTGTTTAATAAGGTTTATAATTTATCGTTATTAAAAAAATATATTGATAAGTACAAGGTTAAATCTTGAGCAACAGCAAATTAACTTCATTTACTACATGCAATAACGAAATATTGTTACCTTCAATAAGTTTGTAGCATTTTAAGAAAGAGCTGCTTGATTGTGTACAAATTGCTGCAACAAAACATTTGTCTAAAAAACTATGAATGTTTATTGAAGTTATAAATTAGACCTCAAATACAACATCAAATTATAAGCTCTCAAAAATATTTCTTTGGAATGAAATTTCAACCTTATTTCAGCTGAATTCTATAATTTACACCATATTATCACTTCTTTTTTTTTGTCCATTTCTTTCTCTGTTTTACGGCTATATGGGGATTTCCCGAGCCAGGGGAGAGGGCGGGGGATTAATACCCCAGAGTTTATAATATAAGCCCTCCGGAACGGAGACGCGAACTTGTAATTATTTTATCTTGTAAACTTCAGTTTATCAATCATCTGGTTGCCGGGCAACGTGTATTTTGCACACGTGTTAGTTCGGTTGGCCATTCCGCCCCAGATTATCATTATGTAAAATTAATTAATTTGTAACTACAAATTTTAATTATTCTTTGGACTTAATGAACCAACAAATTTTGACGTAAAACCAGCCGGGTCAATGGTGTCCTGCTTTACCAATATTAAAATCTGGTCACCTTATATAGACTCCCCTCTTCCTCCCCCTCCCTCCCAAACAAAAAATATAGACAATAGCATAATACCAGGTCATCAGGAACGGTTAAAGTGTATTTTATACCCGCTTTAGAACCCCTAGTATATCATAATGAGTGTTTCGAAGATATCTAGTATGTATATATCTAATTAATAAGACATTGCAACATGTAGTAGATACCCTCCAGTATTTTCTCCTTTATGTGATATTGTGTGAGGGAATGAGAAGGAATATATAATATATAGGAATGTGAGGTTGCACTGTGAATAACTCAATTGTGTAATGGACAAATTTTTCATTGAAAAGTCTCGTATCGATAAACGATCGATGAAGAAGGAAAAAGGTCCGGTCAGGTAGCAGCAGCTGGAGAGAGGTGAAGGTACTTGAGGCTGGAACACGAAGACGAAAAGACGTTACCTGAGAGAAGAAGGCACTTGAGGCTGGGACACGGAGGCGAGAGGACTCTAGGCCTGGACAGGAAGAAAGGAGGTTGTCAGAAGAGAGAGGCAGGACATTGAAGACCAAGAATATCAAGCCTACAGTTATGAGACTTTAATAGATTCACTTATTACAGTTGTAAAATAAATAGCTTTGTTTGACAGGAGTGAAAGGTCATTTATTTATTTAGTTGTTCCATAGGCCTCACAATTGAAGAATAATAAACCAGATGAGTCAATCATAAGTGTATTTACTCAGTTCCACATTATGTATATATTCTTATTGTTTCTTCTCACTCAGTGTCACAAAAGTATTAGGTTCCCGAATTCCCAACAACTGTTAACCACCCTCAAAAAGTCTATATCCAGTGACGGGGTCTTGTTTTAATATCCACGAGTGCAAATAACATAGTTCCCCGATACGGAAGGTTATTCGCAATTGCCCGCCAAAAAGGTTATTTAAAATTAACCTCTAACATGTTATTTACAAACAAGAGGTATTCCTTGTATATGTATATTCTCTATACTTCGTCATCTATACCGGTACCTACAATCAAAGTTGAATAAAATTGTAAAATTTTCGGAATGAGCAATAGCCTTTTCTCAATCTTTCCGTTTTTGTTTTACGTACTTAGACTTGTTTTAGTTTACTTTCAAATACAGTCCAATATGAACTTTGCCTTTCCAGATGGCTCGGTCTTGTACAACCCTTTTCCAATTACGTATCGCCAAAATAGTCAGGGGATCTTGGATGAAAGCGTCTTCACATCTTAGCTTTGCCCTTTCTCTTCCCTTTCGATCAATTTTTCCAAAGATTTGTTTTTTGAGAATTTATTCCTCATTCATTCTTGCAACGTGGTTTACCCATATTAGTTGGCCACGCCTAATATAACGCGGATAAATACATACAAGAACAATTAAGCATCATTGAAGTTCAATGATCTAGCTGCCTTATCTATATTGATCGCTTACCCAAGTACATTTACATCCTATTATAAATGGAAGCAAGAGTTTCCATTCCAACTCTTCTTATTACCCTTTCTAATTAAAGAAAGCTAAGGCATCGCAAGAGAGAGAAAAAATCATTTTACTGGCATCAACTTAATTCACATACAAACTGTCAAACCTCTAATTCGATTAGAAAAGATTATAGAAACGCGCTAAAACTTTAAAAAATCAAAAATACAAAAGCAAACCCTCTTTAAACAACACCAACTTATATTAATATATATTCTGTATTTGTAACTTGTTCTGAAGGGACACTAGTCCCAGAATAATAAAATTATTTTCATTCATTCATTCATTCAACTTAATTTACATACAAAAATTAAACATTAAAACTTCATTCAGGAAGGCTATAGAAGTTTTTATGATAGTATTGCAAGGCCCAAGATCAATTACTGGTACTGGTGTGGGAAACTAGTCCGGCAAGTGAACTCTGAGATTATTTTTGCCAAAACAGATTTTGGGTTGTTTATATAAATAGCTTTCGGGCTGAAGCCCCTCCCAAAATGGTAAAATATACCCATGTTTTACAGAAAAAAATATTAAAAACTATCTCTTAAAGTATTCTTGTTCGTATAATAACATTTAATAGGACTTCGAGAACCACCTAAACACCATTTCATAAAGGTAATTAATTTCTTTCTTTTTTTTCTAATTAATTATGGTTACATGTATATGAAAAAAAAATCTTTCGGGCTGAAGCCTCCCCCCCTCCAAAATTAAATCTTGGATCCGCTAGTGTATCATATTTATGTATATTCTTATAAATGTATGTGTATAAAACTGAACTCCATTTGTATGGGTTCGCCCGAAAAGAAATAAAAAAAATATATTTATTATTATATTTATTTGATGTTTTCATTTCTGTGGTGTGATCTTAAACACACACCATAGTTTTTGAAATTTCTCTTATTACCTATAGCAGATGGAAAACATCTAAAACAAAAACACTATTACATGGAAACCACCATTTAGATATTTATTTCCTCATAGTTTGGGAAATTTTTTAACATATTTGAGAAAAAAACATGAGAAATAAATTCAATAGAAATATAAAAATAAATTCGTTTTAAAATTCTATTAGTTTCCTCAGGTAATTGTTGTCTTTTTCTTTGAGAAACTGTTAAATAGTTATTCATCGGTCATTTCTTTTGATATTATTTCCCATAAAATATCAGAAGTAATAAATTAACATTAACTAAATTAATGAACCACATTATTTATCACGTGAACCATCAACGCCTGAAATATCCCAACAGCTCACAAAGCCTAACCCCTAAAGTTTAAGAAATATATTTGCATAAAAAATATAAGAAATATTCACTACCTGTTGTTGAAAGCTATGAAATTAATCATACCGTTCTTCAGAAATATTCTAGTTTCATTTTTTTTACGTTCAATTACTTATATATGCAATATATAGGAAAGGTATTACTTTCACTTACCTATACACTCGTATACAATATATAGTAAGGGTGAGTATTGCGATCCTGAAAATTTTCGAATCCGAGTTTTCAACGGAAATATATGTTTTGAGTGCAAATAACCAAGACCCTCAAAATGGTCTGTGTCTGTGTGTATGTGATCAATCTAGCTCAAAAACGAAAAGTCGTATGAAAGTGAAATTTCATATGTAAGACTTGTATATACCTTGGATGTTACAGAAACTTTTTCGTCAAAATCGACTTACCGGAATTGGCATTTTATATAATCGATTTAACACATTTTACTGATTTTTCTCAAAAACGGCTTTAACGATTTTGATTAAACTCAGTATATCAGTATATTATTAAGCAGTTTTTAATATAATGTAAGTTGATGTAACAGGGCTTAAATAGCTAATTTTCAATATTAGCTTCCTCTAAAGTACCTTTAATTTTTTTTTTAATCGATTAACCATTTCACATTAATCTTTGATATAAAAAATAGCTAATATATAAAATATAAAAATATTTGATGATTAACTAAAGGATAAATAAGAGATCGCAACGGATAATAGTTGTAACAGCGGAATCGAAGGAATACGAGAGAGCCTGAGCTTATCCGAAAGATTACCACACGCTTCCATACGTAATCTGAGATTAATATCATACGGACTCCGACAATATTATGTACGTATATGCGGTTTCCATAAATCCTATAGTTGGTATTATTTAATATTTGATTGTATAGATTATAGCGATATAAAAATTAAAATTTTAATATATAAGAATAATTAAACAAATACAAATACCCTCTATGAAATGTTAATAAATATAGCGTCTATGATTTTTCCTTTCACTTCCCCTTTGTGTGAAAATACTTATTTCTGCTAAGAAGAGAGTGGTAAGTGAAAGTAGTGTGATATGCGCACAAGATTCTTTTTCCATTGCAAGGTCAGAGACGCCTTTTGTGATACAGATCTTATTCTAACCTACAAATTTTCTATTTACAAAAAACCTCAGAAATGGGACCTTTTTTAATTAAATTGATTAATGTAATGAGGTACTAAAAATTGATAAATATCCATGTGCTTTCCACTCGAATTGTAAAATAATTTAATCACAAAATCGAAAAAAAAGGGGCCCTACACAAATATCGGACCATTTAGCGTGACCACCAACCCCAACATGTTTAAAAAACGTGTTTAAATAGCCCAAACGGCCCAATATTTTTGTAGGCCACCTTTTTATTCCTTTCCTTTCCTCCTGGATTTTGTGGTCAAATTATCTTATGATTCAAGTAGAAAGTAAATGGGTATTTATGAGTTTTTAATACCTCATTAAATAGGCAAATTTTGCCAATCTCCAAATTTAAAATGCCCCAATTCAAGAATTTTCAAAAATAAATATGTTCTAGGTTACGATGAGAAGAAGTTATTAGCAAGTTAATAATTTGAAGTTAATAATTTGCCTGTAAAGTTAATAATCTATTGCCATTCATTGGTTGGTGGTACTTCTCACATTTTTTCCCGACATGGATTTTATCCAATGGAATCTAAATGTTGTTTTCAAGGTTAGTTTATGGATAAAACCTGTATAATATTACACTACAATAATAAAATAACCCATAATTTTGTTTACATCGGACTGCTATAAGTTTTTTTTTTAAATAGTTAAAACATAAGTACTGTGTTCGCAAAAAAAATTTGCAAAAAGCCATCAAACACAATGGGTTTCTGTCAATTCTGTTTTTGTTGTTGTTTTTTTTTTGTTTTTTTCCTTTAGTGATTGATCCTTTTATCTTTCAACGTAGATTTAGGATATTTTTCAAATAATCACATACTTTAAGACACGTACTCATCACATGTATCATGAATGTATAACCCAAATTTAACGCCTCTGAAACAGCATTATACACGTACAAATAGTTATTCATAAATTAAATTTAACCAGATCTATGAATTATAAACAATTAAAATTATAAATTCAATGGCATATACAGATGACATAACTATATACAGTAGTAGTAAGAACGCAACAAATACATTAGAACAAGCGGAACAGCTCTGCAATATTATACGAAATGAACTTATGAAATATAAAGGTAAATACAACAAAAACTGTTTGGATAATCTCTTCACTTAAAAATAGTAAGAAAAATCTGGTGCGCGCATCACACGACTTTCACTTACCACCCTCTTCTTAGCAGAAATAAGTATTTTCACACAAAGGAGAAGTGAAAGTAAAAATTATAGACGCTATATTTATTAACATTTCACGATGGGAATTTGTATTTGTTTAATTATCCTCATGTATATTCAAATTTTAATTTTTATATCGCTGTTGTGTTCTATACAATTAAATATTAAATATTACCAACGATAGTATTTATGAAAACCGCAAATGTATATGTACATAACATTGTTGGACTCCGTATTATATTAAGCTCATATTAATTAGGGAGCCTGTTGTAATCTTTCGGTTAAGCTCGGGCGCGCTCGTATTCCTTTGATTCCTCTGTTATAACTATTATACGTTACGTACTTAGTCTTAAGCCCGGTCGGTGTGAGCTGCCTCCAGTAGCTTGATGGGCCTCACATACCCGCATATTTTAATAAATAGCAGAACTTTTGACATAAAATTTCGACTATACTAGATCGCATATGGTTTCCTGATAAAGTTCTTCCTTAGTTTTCCTTAGTCTCATACTAGCTTATATTAAAATATTTTTCATTGAATGTAAATTTTATGATATATAGTGCCACTATTGATCACTATTGATTTTGTTGAAAAAGTTGCTATAACATCACAGGCATACGATTTCTGTAAATACAAAATTTTAGTTTCGTATGACTTTTAATTTTTGAGGTAGGTAGAATTATTCACTAAAATATTATCTGAAACATATCGTTTGGTATTATGGGGTCTCATAAGGTGTATTTTCGTTATTTTCTTTAAAAAGGCGAATTAAACTTTTTTTCACGATTGCAATACATTCCCTTAATATATATTGAATACACAGAATTTCTCAGTTCTTAATAGTACAAACTTTAAGGAGTGATTCTAAACAAAATTTCCAAGAAAAATGTTCATTTGATTCATGGACCGATTCCGAACAGAAAAATAATTAAAACTAATTTTTCGTATTTATTAAGGGGTTAACGTTTTTCGTTGAATAACTATTGTTCATTGAATGATTATTGTTCAGAAACTATTCAAGATAATAAAATTCTAAGTACATCATCGTAGAATAGACAAAATTCTCTTTGAGCATAGTTCGTGGTACACAGACCCCTTTTTATCGAATTATTAACATCCGGCTGAAACGTGAATAGTTGCATCTTATCGTAACCTACAACTATTTTATTTACAAAAACTCTTGAAATTGGGGCATTTTCAATTTGGAGGGGAGCAAACATTGTCTATTTAATTAAGTATTAAAAACTCGTAAATACACATCTGCTTCTACGTGCATCATAGGGTTGTAGGATCACAAAATCAAAAAAAAGGTGCTACCTCAAAAATTTAGAGCCGTTTGACGTGACCTACACTTCCAAATTTTCAAAATAACGAGGTCATATTCCACAAACTACCAATATTTTTGTAGGCCACCTTTTTTATCGATTTTGTGATCAAATTATCTTACGTACCAATACAAAGCAAATGGGTATTTACGAGTTTTTAGTACCTAATTAAATAGACAATGTTTGCCCTCTCCAGATTGAAAATGTCCCAATTCCAAGAGTTTTCGTAAATAAAATAGCCGTAGGTTACGATGGGATGAAACTATTTACGAAGTTTCAGACGGATGTTAATAATTCGATAAAAAGGGGTCTGTACCACGGACTATCTAATATGGCTGCTGCATACGAATCGGGAATACAGAGAACGTTGCTTGTACAAGGGTATTGTAACATCAGCAATACAAAAGTCGTGTACCTGTTATCTGAAAGTAACTTAGTACATGTAATCACCGTTTTCTTAACGAAAATGTTATTTTTTACATTTTTTTTACTACTCTACGATGGCGTACTTGGAATTTAATTATCTTCAACAGTTTTTGAGCAATTCCTTCTTATTAAATAAAAAACGTGACTACCTTAAGGAATACATAAAATTACTCTTAACTCTTTTTCCAATCGGAATCGGTCCACGCATCAAATGAACTTTTTTGTTGGACATTTTTTCCAGAATCATTAAGAACTTAGAAACCCAGGGAAGTATGAGAAAGTAAAATTATAGAGAAAATTCATTGAATTTTATTTTATTATTTATTCTAAAAAAAAAATGTTTATATTTTTAAATATTTGTATCTTTTTAGGTCAATACCAAACCTGGGTCAAATACCGATTTCTTACGAAAGAGTCAATGTTCGGGATGGGTTGAACAGGTTTCCAGGAATTTCAAGGTTTGTAATAGTTTCTTATTCTGATTGGAATGCTTTCTATTTAGATATTTAGAATTATTTTATCCTCATAGCCAGAAATTAATAGACGTTTATAAAAAAACTATAATTTTAATTAAGTACTAATGATTGACCGTTGACTAAATATTCAATTTTAAACGAAACTCCATGTCAAACACACCTCTGAAGCAGACCTGAATAATTGGTTCCAAACGTGTGCTTAAAATAAAATAGTTGTTCACTATTTTAAGATTTTTTTATGAACAATTATTATCTTAATTTTTTTTTTTTTTGTCTTCATATTTCCATCCACACCTGTGCACATGAGCTTGACAATAAGCAGATATGCTGTAACTAATAAGAAAAATAGACATTTTAGGCATGAGAAAAAAAATAGTACCCAGTAGCACTTCTTCCTGGTCTTGATTTATTTCCTTAATTCAAGAAAGGAGATCTCTCATCCATTTCCTCTTTAGTCGTCTCTCCTGTAGGCATGTCGTTAATAAGTCCGTTGTTATTTCCGTGTAGTTTAAGATGAAATCGGAAGTAGATCTGTGTGTTGGCATGTGTTGATCTATAGTTGGTTGTCGTAAGTCGTTATGTAAAGATTTGTTGTTTACGTACCAAGGAGCTCCTGTTATAAGTCGTAAAATTTTGGATTGAAATGTCTGTAGTTTTTGTAACTGCGTCTTTTTTGCAGAACCGTTAATTTGGGAGGCGTGTGCCCATATGGGTTTGACTAGGTAAGTCTATGTATTGAGTTTTTGACTGATTTTCAATTTTGATTTAGAAAAAACGTGAGTACAATATTTTCAGTCGCTTGTTTTTGAAAGGTCTGTCGTTTCATTTTGACGCGTGGGCATCTTAACATTTAATTTAATTTTTACTTAACTCATTGTTGTTACATTTATTATTATTTTATAAAATTTAAGTTACAAATATAATATTTTTATTGAAAACTGGCACACTATTAAATGATACTCGTATAAAAGATGTTGTCCTTGGACTCAATTGCGTTTGTTCCAGAAACCTCTTTAAAAGAAAGTAAAACTGGTATAAATAAAATATATGGAACAAGTTTACACGAAAAATTACCATCCATCGAGTAAGCGAAAGTTGTGTGTTGTACGCACCGCACCAGATTTTCTTATGCTGTTGTGCGAAATTGACAATTTTTTGTTTTGGATTTTATTAATATCTTAAGGAAATATCTTGAAATATATAGATTTTTTTTGTTAAGTAAACTTTTGTAAATGTTTGTATATTTTTTTTTTATGAACATGAACATATAATACGAATATCATAAGAGGTTACTGGTAGTTCGTCGTTATCTGAATTGGTATCCAGTGACGTAATCTCTGGGAATCCCATCTCAAAAGTAAATTCTAATTTTTTTTTACAGCCAGGAAGTATCGTTTTAATTCCTTATTCAAACTAAAAGCTTCGGTCTCACCAAGTTTAACAAATGAACACATAATCAACATTTTTCCTTTTCAGGCTTCTTCAGGGTTGTTTAAAGATTTAAAAACATAACAAATATACATTAGTGATACCTGAATAGATAAAGGGTTGAATTTGAGCTTACTTAGCATATCGCCCGTCCGGAAGAAAACCACAACTCAAAATTAACATAAAAGCGCAGCAAATTATTTCACAATGGTTTATTATTTCCAAATAATTATACATCTAAATTAGCATTACCTTTCTAGTAACAAAGAAAAATAAATAAAAATTGATTCCTATTATTGGACTATACATTTCTTATTTAATTAGTAATTTGCTAAAAAAAAAATAGCATTGCTTCAATGACTTTTTCAAAAATATAAAACGGAAACAAAGGATATTACCTTTGCAGTAGAACATATAAAAAATATCTAGGGACTATATCTTCGCTCTTAATTGTCCGATTTTAATGCTTTTTTTTTTTTAGCAAATTTCTTAAACTTTTAAATAACCGGATAGTAATGTTGATGCAGGAGAATCATCCTTGGGTGACTTCTGACTTGAAATACAAATTTGAAAAAGATAGGCGGACGGACAAACAATTTTTTTTCCGATTTTCGAATTCTACGTGTCCTGAAATGTAAAACCTCAAATTTTGAAGGGGGCTTAGCTTTTAGAATTTATTGGTCGATTACAATGGTTCATTATCGAAAATAATGAACCAAACATATTTAAAAATCTGTACAAATAGTGCTCTGATTTCGATGAAACTTTCTTAGTTTTTTAGAAAATTTAAATAACTTTGAAACATATAATTATAAAAATGACAAAAAAGTATATACTTTTTGAGTTATTCATAAATCTAATTTTACCACCCCTCGTAATTTTTCTCCTGCTTCTTTTCGTTGAAGTATGTTATATAGATAAATTTAAAGGAAATCGAGAAGAATACTTAAGCCAAGTTTCATTGAAATCGGTAAATTCGTTTAGGCGCTATAGTCTATAGTAACACAGTTTTTTCGACCAATATCTTGAAAGGAAAAGGCGGATAGTAATGTCGATGTAGGAGGATCATCCTCGGGTGACCTCTGACTTTAAATCCATTTTGAAAAAAATCAGTCTAGTAATCTCGGAGAAAGCGGGCGGACGGCGGACGGACAAAAACATTTGTATTCGATTTTCGAATTCTAGGTATTCTGAAATGTATAATCTCGAATTTTGAAGGAGGGTTAAGTTTGTTAAGTGTTGGTCTATTACAATGGTTTATTATTGAAAATAACGAACCAAAATATTTATGAAAATTGTATGCTTTGTGTGGAGATTATATCGAAAAGAGCATTATTAAACTTGTGTCAATGGTATCACCTTGCAACGACCTAAATAAATATTATATACACAAATTCTAACATACAAATTTTATCATACTTTTAAATATAATGAGCGAACAGAGCAAGCTGTAGTAAGTAGCTATTTAGAGATTCAAACATAGCTCAAAATTGCAACAATGTCTAAAATAAGAACCGATGTTGTCTATTATGTTAATGGACTCACTGGCTTCCTCTTGTTCGAGATTTAACCCTAGATTGCTAACATCCTTCAATGCCACGTCTTTGCTAACTATACGTAAAATTTTCTTGAAAATAAAAACCGTTTTCAGATGATTGAAATTATTTTTAGATGAATAGTTTTTAGTAATGATTTATAAAATCATCAGAATGTGTTTTACGGTCAATTATTTAAGACTAAGACGGTTGGTATAAATTTATATTATTATATGAAGATTATTTAATTTATTTGAAATTTGCTTTATAAGGAAAAGCGATATGTTGGGCATCACAACAAATTAATAGTCATTACATGTGAAAATTAAATTTATTTATATATCAAAATAAAAAAATTATTTTATTGCTTCCAAAATATAGAAGGTATAGTCCGTGGTACAGACCCCTTTTTATCGAATTATTAACATCCACCTGAAACTTCGTAAATAGTTCCATCTCGTCGTATCCTACAACTATTTTATTTACGAAAACTCTTGGAATTGGGGCGTTTCTATCTGGAGGGGGGCAAACTTTGTGTATTTAATTAGGTACCAAAAACTCGCAAATACCCAATTGCTTTCTACTTGGATAGTAAGATAATTTAATTACTAAGTCGAGAAAAAATATGACCTTCAAAAATATTGAGCCGTTTAGCGTTACCTGCACCCCCAAAGTTTTGAAATAATGTGGTTATATAGGAAAAACGGCCCAATATTTTTGTATGTCACCTTTTTTATTGATTTTGAGATCAATTTATCTTGCTATCCAAGTAGAAAGCAAATGGGTATTTACGAGTTTTTTGTACGTAATTAAATAGACAAAGTTTACACCCCTCCAGATTGAAAACGTCCCAATTCCAAGAGTTTTCGTAAATATAATAGTAGTAGGTTACGATGAGATAAAACTATTTACGAAATTTCAGGTGGATGTTAATAATTTGATACAAAAAGGTCTGTACCACGGACAAGTAGGAGCTCTTTGCATTCGTGTGAAAGGTTAAATATATTTTTACTTTTAAAATAATTTTAACAGTTTACATTTATCTTGGAAATTTCATTAAGTTTCCATAGAAACCTTTGGTTTTTCGTAAATTATTATTCGTAACTCTCCATTACCTTCTACGAATATACTAAATTTCATATATTGATAAGTAAGAGTAAAAATTCATTAAAAAATAAAACTTGAAGTCAGTACTGGCATTTCTTTTTCTTTTTATCGTTCAAATCTCTAATCCCCTAATCTAGAACTCTCGTTTCTACTAGGTCCTTACGTTAATGCAAAATGGAATTTTTAAATAGAATAATCATTGTATTAATATGTAAAATTAAAAATTTCTTAATCTATTCTTCTTCTTCCTGAATGAAGAACCTTCCTGACATAGTGAGGAACTAAAATGAAGAATTCGGATCTTTTAGCAAATAAATCTTCCTTTATCTGGGTAGTTTTAAATCCTAGAAAAGAAAGGAAGTAGTTTAGCAAATGCAACTCAGCAATCAATGTCAGCGTTTTCGGAATGATGAAATGAGACGTTCAATCCTTGAAGAGAATATTTAATGAAGCTTGACAAAGAGGTTATGTAAGGAGCCACAGCCAATATGATCTCATGTGGCCATCACCTTCGTTCCGTTCTGTTTCTTATTGATCTATTGGAAAGGAAAATATGATTCGTCGAGAAGGAAATAATATTTTCGATTTAAGTCTATAATAATATGGTTGTTAACAGTAATAATAATAATATGCATATAACTCACAGTAACAGTTATATATTAGTGGAAAAAAAACATATTCATGTTGGGGGGGGGAGGGAGGAGGAGGGCTTCAGCACAAAAATCTCTTTTCCTCGCAAGTGACTGGAGATATATTTTCCAATGGAGTTGTTTTCACGAATTGTGTTTCTTGGATAAACTATCTTGACAATATTATATTGTGCATACGAATAAATTATTATATTGTGTGCTGAATCAACTATCTTAATAATATTATTAGATTGGCATTAAGTCTTTTCGGTTTTTAAGAGTA